AGATCGTGCAAGAGCAAAGAGAATCGCTTCTTTGCCTGTTGCATTTTGTACTTTAAGCAGTCCCTGTCGTGCACTTATAAAGTTCATTACATTCTGTCTTAACGCAACATGCCCCTGTTTTTGTTCTCTCATTTTCGCGTGCGAATTCACCTTAATTAAGGCGTTAAGAAACTCTACTGTCATAGCGAGTAAAGTACATCTTTGTTTCATTGCACTTTAAACCACTGACCGCAGAGGGTATGCAGTGGGTTTTATGCAGACGAAACAGCTGTGATAATGACCACAAGGACACGGCAATCACTTGCTAGGTGCTACTTTTCGCCGCTAAATACCACGGCCTGTTTTCAATCCAACATCACAGAAACAGACGTCCACAAATTGTTCAAAGTCATTTTCAAGTGCCTCGAGACTAACCCTGGACAAACTGCCCTTTTTGGACCAAATTTCTGGAAAATTTAGGTTATTAATAGCGTATATTAAGGCGCAAATCTTAGTTTGTTGATACTACATTCCCCCTTTTTCGAATGTAGCATTAAATTGCTACTTACAAATACTAGCAGCATCTTGTTTTTATTAAGGACCATATCGTTGGCAGGAAAAAGAAATTTGAAGAAACGCCAGTGACAATAACATTTCTTAAGTATTATTAAAAAGCATATTGAAATATATTGTAACATTTGAAATACTTCTCTAGATGAAATTCCTTGAACCAATCAAAAAACGGCACACTTGTTGACCGATTTTTGGTTTATGCAGTATGATATATTCTGTCTTTTGGCAAATCAGAAATCGATAAAAGCAAAACATGGGACTTTTTGGTTGGGTATTTCTCACTCAGCAGTCAATTAAAACACACTAAGTAGCCAATAGCAGAAGGCCGGAAAATCGATAGCAGCTGACCACTGCGAACTTTTAAATTCGGCAAATCAATCGTCGGCATTTACGCCAAATCGCGCGCTCCATGATCATCGTTAAATTGCTGGCATTCTTGAATTTGTTCACACTAGTTCGAATGACGAGGCATTGCTCGTCAATGTGGAAGGGTTTCACAACACCCTCCTCACGACGCACGGATCGGGGAGGTAAGGTCAAATATTTACCCACGTCGCACCTACCAGAGGTAATTTGCGTTGGCGCTTGCTACTTCAAGAGTTCCGCTAAGATGACCTACGACGAAGGTCAGGCGCTTTGCGCGTCACTAAACACAAAAATGTTTTACCCAAAAGGCGAAGATGAGAACGTAGGTAGGCGCTGCGTAACACAGTGATAGAATGCATTGAAATCGGTTGTTGGAAATGAAGCCATCTACCTGCTAACGAGGTACGCTGACGGTGGTTTCACGAACGACGGAGAACCGTTGTCCTACGCGTAAGTGTGGCATCACCGACGGATTGACCTCGATCTAGGAAATGGGATTGCGACGTGTTCTCGAGGAAGTACAACAGCTGTGTGATACGACTGAAAACCGGCCTAATGACCACCACGGGCTGCACTGAGAAGCTTGTGATTCTTTGTGATTTATTCTAAAGCGACACCAGTGTACAAATAAATGGATAAAACGTCAAGTTCCACTGAAATGCCCCCAAAACAATGATGTCCAACCAACCAGAAAAGGGAGTGGGAGTGAGGAACTAACGATGACGAAGCATTTCGATTACTGACGCGGATATATTTACAAGAACTACAGAGAGCGTTTCAATCGAAAAACTGGAGTGAGAGGCGGAGCTATAACATGCACAAAGGGTCTTCTAAGCTCGCGTTCTTGTTCCTTCACAACCGGGTAGAGTGGACTGTCGGGATAGGGCGAGAGAGTTTCCGTGGTAATTGTAAAACGGCCGTTGCGCAGAGCAACAAGGTCCCATGTGTCTCTGTTCAATTTTACATTTTCACCAGGGTAGAACTCCATGCCCATCTGAAAATGGTAGAAATCGTTGCAGTTTTGCAAGGTCAAGCATTGCCAGTGGCTTTTCATGTTTTGTGACAGATGACGCAGTGCAACTTGTGCCTTCAGATTAACTTGCACCAGGGAAGTAACAACTCAACCTTCTAACCAAAACTTCATTCCACCAACAACCAAATGACCAACCTATTAAAATTTCGAATGTATGAGACGAAGATGATTTACCTGTCGAACGAGGATGTCCCCTTTGTAAACTTGGTCCCCATCTGCGAACTGAAATCCCCTGAGCGTTTTCACGAGAACGGGCTTATTGATCTTCTGAGGCTGGTCTTCATAGTTGGGCTTCTTTTTGACTGCGAATCCTCGCGCGCATGTCCTCAAAATTCCTGAGGCCCAAATGAAGTATTTGAAAACCTACCTGGTCGTAGCAGTGTTAGCTGTTGCATGTCTAAATCAAAAAGATAACAACGGAAGTAAATGCAAAAACCAGCCACACTAAACTTTAAAAAAATCACGAACGATATATCACCTAGACGAAGCTACAGTTGTGAGACTTCCTCAGTTTCGATTTAAATACGATGATAACAACAAGTGAGGTGACATGACCTTTTAGGACGTTCTGGTTGTCTTGACATTTTAATGACGTACTAGATGAGCTAAAATGAATAACAATCCACTCAATAGACTACACAAAGTTAATGACATGCTTTTTTCAAGTCATTTTTGGTATGTGACGATCAGAAAAGTGCTAGAGTGAACAAAAATATCATTACAATGGGATCAACACAACAGGAGTCTAAGCAAATTACAAGTGAAAAAAGAGTGCTAGGAACTAGGTTTAGGCCAAGGTCAAGAAGAATAAAGACGAGAAATATGTGCTAGACAAAACTCATATCATGTCATATACCTCGTGGTGAAGTAAATAATTTGCAGATTCTATCACAAATGAATACAAAGAGAGCAACACACAAGAGAGTGTTGTGCCTTATGGCAGTGAAAGAAGACTAAAGCGATCGTGTATGTGCACAAACTTTAAACATAAATGTAGAGGAGCTGCCTAGGCAGTCAGTTAATAAACTTTAGCATGCGATATAGATTTTGACTGTTGGAATCAAGTCAATGACAGGTCGCACCAAAAAACGAGAAAATCACCACTAGGATTTTAACTAATGCGCCACAGGAAAGCACAGATTGAAACTGATGGTAAATAATTTACCTGGGTTCTCTGAAAAAACTAACAAAACGACTTATATTCAAATTCAAGATAACTCAACTTTTCGCCTTTATCATTGTTCAATGCCCTTACAGGGAAAAGAAGGCTTTGGATGATGAATGCAATTCGTTGATTTTCTGCATCATTGCAGATCGTAACTCAGATTATCAAACAACTTGTTAGCTTACCATGATCTCCAAGGCCTTTTGCAATCGTTAAATTGTAAATTCATCGCATTATCCTAGGTTATGTGGGAAGAGTCCACCTCTGAGGGAATATTGCCATAGGCCTTGTGTTAGGGCTACCACAAGCTCAGTGATCTAAAAACCAATAGCTTAATGCTCATTAAGCGTTATTTAATAAATGTGAAGGCGTTTGTTTTCCCGATTTAGTATCAGCTACCCACCAACATAGCAAAAATATCTGCTACTCAGTTTATGTAGTACTATCCAGCGTCAAGTTTGTGTTACTTTGACCAAAACGTTTGAAAAGGACTTAGTTTTTTATCTAAGAGCACAGGAATTTGTAGTGTACAGTGTTATAATCAACACACGGCAAATATTTAGTGCACCTTCGTAAACGCATAACATCGAATGCATTTTATTCCAATTTCTTTTTCGCTGTTTAAAAAATGGACTTCGCTTACTTTCACATGTTGCACACAGTGTGAACTTACATGCTGGACCTGATCATTTACAAAGGACGATGCCAAATTAAAAGAGTACAAGTACAATAAGTATTATCACTTTATACAAGAAAGACTTTAAAAGAGTGCAAGACTCACGTTATTAACAGGGGCGGCCGCGGTTCAACCGCCCATGTGAACGAAGCCCCTACTTTTTCTCAGTTAACTTTGAATGTCAGACAAGGCTTTTTGAGTTTAATTACTAGCAGTAGTGAGATTCGCATAACTAATGTTCATGTAAAGCAAAATCCATATTATCAATTTTAGTGTACATCTCCGGGAAATTATTGGATTATTTGGATCCGTAGGCATTCGGGTTATGTCGGTCAATTTACTTGATCAGTCTGCACAGGATAACGTTTTTTGAGAGTTCGGCCCTTATTTTTTAGTCGTTAACGTCGAACGAGCTCCTCCCATAAATACCACAGATCACACTATGCTGTTTGATGTGTTGAAGGCACTGATGTGGTCATCGCATCCACGAGGCGCAAGCTGATTGATTGCAACAGATTTCGTCCGGTCCAGCATCAAGCAGGCAGAGATTAAAGAGAAGATCAAAGGCAACGAATGTTCAACTGTTAATGTCACCATTACTGGCAGATCCCATTTCACAAACACCGTCAGCTGCATCAGCAATGTTCCTTACAATGTTCAGTCATACATTAGATCTGATGAACGTCGTTCATCAAGATGATTTACTAGAGAATGCTAGTATTGTCGGACATTTGAGTGTGGCGATTAACAGTATCTGATTCCAAGGTCAAAATAATCCGGAATCTGTCATTTGAATCACTTTGCAGTTAGCGTGGATATTCTTCGGAATACTCAACTTCAAGGTGCTATGTCACATGCCTTTATTAAGAGTGACCCTTCTTGTCTGAGGCACGTTTGTAAGAGCATTTTATGTGCGGCTGTATTGGCAAAGGTTATAAACGAGGCGCACCATTTTAGAAACCCTGATTATTTAAGCGTTTTACGTGTGCATCGACGCACAGGAGATGTCACTGCTATTGAATTATAGTGCTTGGTTGTACGAAATCTGTAAAACGTTGAGAACATATTCAACTGATTTGCAGTTTTCCAAGTCATAGCTCTGTTGAATCAAAGGCTGGCTGCTTAAATGTAGTGGTGAATTTATCTTCTCATAGTACATGAGGGCTAATTCGTAAAAAAACATCCACAATCTGCCCCTCCTATTTTCATTCACTGTGATGGACGTATTTTTGTCCCAAAACAGAGGTTATTATCTGGCCAGAAAACGACCATTTTCAACGGGACTTATTTGTGAATTTGACCTCCGTTAAAATTGGTACCAAGTATCTACCTGTGCACCAAATTAATACAAAGATAGTTAAAAGGAGACAGTCCGAAGAGACTGGGTGAGTGTGTTGAAGATTCCGACACGTTGCGCAAGTTGTCTACGGCTAAACGTTCCTTCATGACATCATGCCTGCACTGCAGTTACACTAGCATATTGTTCAGAAAGATTAATGTTCTAATGTATTCATGGTTGCTAATGGTGTTGAAGATTCTGGCGTGCTGTGTGGACCACATCGGGACCTACTTGCTGTGTTGACCCGGCAGGACAATGAAAACCAGACATGGCGGATAGATAACCGTTTATCAGACGGATCAACCTAGTAGTCGTGTGTAGCGCCACAGTGCAGAACAGGTAGTGTGTAATCAGTGGGGTTTGTTGATAAATCCAGTCTGGGTTAATTTATAGAAGTGCAGATAGCGGAGAGACCAGATGAGTACTGGGGGGAGTGATAATGCAAACGCATTACCGTTAGGGACGACGGCGTGTCTAAGCATACGACGACCTACAAGTTAGTGGTCTTGATTTAACTGGATTCCCTAGATAAATCGATGCGTAGTGTGTGAGAACCTCCTCCAAATATCCTGATCAAGACTTTCAGTAATGAGTTGAGTTGAGCAGCATGAAACACGTGGTATGGTTGGGAACACCACAGAGACGGATAGGTTACTTAGCAACCTTCTGTTCGACTAGTTGCAGCTTATCCAGGTCGCAAACGCGCACAGGAGGATCACGATACACGAACCAGGATCTGAGTGATAAGGGCTACCACAGTGGCAGTAGGTGCACGCGTAAAGGGGCGCTTGAAGATACGTATCTTCAAGATTGATAAGATGGCTAGAAAGTGAGGCAGCAAGTTGTCGATTTATCCTTCTGTGCGTGAAAGATTACTGCGATGCAACAACGCGCTGTTATTCACACACAACCCTATGTTACCGTGACTGTTGCGCAAGTTGTTTGCGACTGATTAACAGCCAGAAGCACACGGAGTCGCATTCCCTCCTTGGTGTGATAGCTGATCAAACTGAACTTCAGCATCGACAGACACACCACGTACTTCTATGTGATGACAGCAGTAATTGCAACCTCACAAACACGCAAGGCAACCTCTCATGAGTCCCAAGACCACCTCCAACTGAAAAAGCACAGCCTGGTAACTCTGACATGGAATCAGTCAGCTTGAATTCTTTACGATCTGCAAACGTGCACTTAGAAGCAACTGCAACGCATATGAGTACCCAGACTGCCTCCAAAACTCGATGATTGGAAGCATCCTTCCACACTCTACCCTAACGGCCAAATCTATCATCCTTAGCGTGATACGAAACCAACGATAAAGTGTAATTATTAGTAACTACGGAACAACTTTCGTCGGTACACCTTGAAGATGTTACGTCCACGATTCATCACACCAGACACCAGTAACATAATCAGCTACAACCTATACACGTTAAATTACTGGAACACACCACAAAGTCTGATAGCAAAGTACAAACATTTATTGGTGAGGAGACAGACGAGATTGTGGATCTGGGCTTCCTTAACTATTCCCGTTCCTTCACGTCTCCAAAAACCAGAAACTGGGTACAGCAGAACTGAAGAGATGCGCGGACATGATCCTTCCCAAGTCCTCGCTAGACTTCACTTTTGGAGAAACCGTTCAAAATCTCAAGAGCATGTTTGGAGAACGCACCTCCTTATTCAGTACCCGGTACCAATGCCCCACACTTGCAATAGGAGAGTTTGACGACTTCCTTGATCATCTAGCAGAGGTCAATCGAGAGTGCGAGAGACGTCAATTCATATCAATGACTGATGACCAGCTCAAAACTCCCATTCTCACATGCAGCCTTCAAATCCCTAAATACACGGATCTGCGAACGCGGCTGCCACACCTGATTGACCGAAATCCCTCTGTGACGCCGGACAATATCTGCTATGAATACCTACACTGGAGCAGCGTGCTGCATGACTCCAGAATGGCTCAAGCTGGGAGCCGCAGTGCTCCCGAAGTCAATACAGTCCAACGTATCCAAAAACCACCTCCCACTTCTATTCCTCCCAGCCGTCGTCAGCCTAAATCGAACGGAGAATCAGCCGACACAAATCGTCGAAGGAGATCAAGGGACACTCCTCCTTCCGCGTGTTGGCACTGTGGAGCCTGGCATTATGTCAAGTTCTGCGCTTACAAGCGGCATCGATGCAAAGCTAAGGGCCACAAGGACGGATACTGCCAATCATCCCCGTCTAACAGGAGTGGACGGCACCCCCACTCCACACAAAGGAAAGATTAAAAGCCAAACCAGCCAGCACCACCATAGCATCTCTCAGTCTACGGGTCACCTCCGAAGACACTTCACAGCAGCAGATGATGCATACAACCGTCTTAATCAATAGCCATCCAGTTCGTCTGCAGCTGGACACAGCCTCGGACGTTAACATCATCTCGGAAATCCAATGGCGCTGCATCGGAAGTCCTCCACTCAGGGTCACCTCTGAAACGGCAATCAGTGCCTGCAGCAGAGAAATTCACTTCCGCAGCCAAATGTAATGCTATGTTTCCTTCCGCGGACCAATCTTCACTGGCACGTGTTATGCCCTCAACGCCAACCTGAACCTCCAGAAGTCTCATTGGATGAAAAGCCTTGACAAATCCTTTGGTTTGGGGGCGGGGGAGGAGGAATTATTGTGAGTCTCGTTGACTCACGCTGGTTAATCAGGCCCCAGGATTCTGACACACTGTCTCCCCCTTTTTCGCAGCATGCCGTCAGCCGCGTGGAATCACCACGTGTGATACCAGTCGCCTGGGTCTCGTTGTCGGCACACCTATGACTCATGCTGCTATAGCCAAGCCCAAACTCCATAAACGACACTGACGACGGCTTGGTCGAGTTCTCGAATAAACGATCGTCTCTCTCTCATTCTGCTGTCTCAATCCTTCGTTGGACGTTCATGTCACATCATGCCGCCACACCCGTATTGCCGCCTCTGGCCTCCACAATACGCTTCGTGATTGAGAGCGTAGATATTTTCTCGCTGAAACTCACTTTGTTTTGTGGAGTGCCCGATACAGATTTGCTGACGGTTCCTGCTGCACGACCTCATGTGACTAACCCCGCAAACCGCATCAATGAATCCGAAAATTCTGCTTACCGGGCTATCACAGGAGGCGCGTCTAGTGAGAGCAGTTTTCGAAACCCCTTCGAAGGCGCTGTACTGGTTCCTCGCAAAGCAAATTGGGCACGACGTCCGACAGAACACGTCCAACAAACAACGCCAGAACACCACGTCCAAAGTTCTGAGCCTCCGCTCATTTAAATAGCCTCGTCGGCATTTCTGATTGGCTCCTTCACTGCCTCGACAAGAAAGCAGAGTAACTAGTGCGATGATTGGTTACTTCGGTCCTGGCGCTCTGGCCAATCGCCATCTCCCACGAATCCAGAAGTCACTCGCTCGATCACGTGATGACGCCAGCGTGGTCTAGCGGCGTGTGCTACTGCGCCCTCTCCACCAATGACTGAAAAATTTGCGAACAATTACAAAGCGGCTACTTGGACTGTGCAGCGGACAGCATGTGAGTTTGTGAATTTTTATTTTGCATCGCCAAGTTTAAAGTTTACCACTCGCTTTAGGATAAACGATCAGTTTAATTTTTGGTGTTATTGGACGTGGAAAGTGCATTTTGAAGCAGTTAGATAATGTACTTCCGGAAATGGCATGATTATTGCGTTGACATGTCGAAGTCAGTCGACAAATTTTGTATGTTGTAGAACTAGAGACTCGCGCATGTCATCGTTGACAGATCTCTTTTGCGCAGCCAACAGACAGCGCTGCATTGCGTTGTTAAAGCAAGGGACGCCACTAAGACCCAAGCCGAAGAAGTTCGTAGAATCGTCTGTCATCATCCCACTTTGTTATTATGACAACGAACCCGCCATCCTCTACACGAAGCGCACCATGCGTGTTCGTCATTCTCCCGGTGATGTCAGGTAAATCCGTCAGTTTGTTTTGTACTTCAACTGTGATGTTGGCGAGAGGGCAGAAGCACATCGCCTCCGTCTACATGTGATTCCGAAGGTGTGTTTGGTGGTGCTTTTTAGCTTTCCCGGTGGAAGAATGGATCCTGGCGAGACACCAATTGCCGCCGCGTTGCGAGAATTGGAAGAGGAGGTTGGAATTCCGTGCAGCTTCGTCGACGTCTGGACCACCTTCGCTCCATGCCCCACGAGGGTACGTTTTGGGTGTGTGCAATTTGGAGTTATCTGTGGTTCTTTACTGCCGTTCACGTAATTGGCACTGCACTTTCATTACCTCGGCTTCAAAGTTACTCCTGTTGTGTGTCTGGGGATGCGGTTCTGAACCACACCGGTGCCACCGCATCGGTTTGATCCGATTGGACAACACAGATACTCATTAAGAACAGCTATGAGACCCGATGATTCACGTTCGTTAACCCGGTCGCAAGCCGTCAGCCGAGCGCAGCCTCAACTTGCACCTTATCGGTGTGAAGTATTTTCCAGGATTATCGTGATGTGTGATAATATGTTGGGGCATGTCAACATTCCCAAACACAGCTATCGATGATTGTGGAGATCTCTGTAAGCAGGCACATGTAAGCATCGATGGAACTTCCGCCACAGACAGCTGCCTCGAACAGCATAACCTTCCACACCAGCTATAGTCTTCTGTTATTTTGGGAGAGCCTTCGACGTGCTAGCCAAGGGATGCCAACGGTTTGCTCCAGGATTTGCAGCAGCATACGGGGAAAAACGTGAGAATTGGTGACTCAGGCGAGATGGAGGATAAGGGGATGGAAAAGTCACTCGAGAGACTGGCGTCGATGCTGGCAGATCAACAGTGTTCCGTCAGTACGCCGTAAATTGATGGCCTAACCATCAGTGTCTCAGAGTTTGCCGCTGATTCGGAAAATGGACTAACTTTCGAGTCCTTGTATCAGCGTTACGAAGAACTGATGCGGGTGGACCTAGCTTCACAAGACGACGCGTGGAAGGTCGGGCTCCTTATCTGCACACTGAGTTCGGCTGAACTGGAGAGGTACTGCGACACGATTCTTCCAAAATTCTCGCTCGACTTTACATTTGGGGAGAGACCGTTTAAAATCTCAAGCGGATGTTTGGTGAACACTGCTCCTTGTTCAGTGCCCGGTACAAGTGTCTCAAGCTCTCGATAGGGGAGTTCGGCGCCTTCCTAGACCATTTGGCGGTGGTCAACCGAGAATGCGAGAATGGCCATTCCAAATCAATGATCGATGACCAGGTTAAAAATTTAGTTCTCGTTCGCAGCCTCCAAATGGCTAGGTATGAAGATCTTAGAATGGGGCTGTTCCACCTCCTCGAGCAGAGCCCCGCTGTGACTCCTAAAGCGATTTGCGAGATGAATACCTTCACTGGAGCAGCGTCCAGCATGGTGGAAGCAAGGGGCTGCAGCGGTGTCTAGGTCAATGCGGTTCAGCGTTTCACCCAAGCTTCCGCCACTTCTGACTTTCCCACCCGTCAGCAGTCACAGCTGAACGAGAGACAGATCGGCCCGAATCATCGAGGAAGAGAAGAGGACACCCCTCCTCCTGCTGCTTCGACGTGTTGGCATTGCAGGGCGTGGCACTTTGTAAGGTCCTGCCCATTCAAGCAGCATCGGCGCCAACGATGCGAAGCCATCGGACACGAGGACGGATACTGCCAATCATCTCTGTCCAGCAGCCACTGGCGACACTCTCGCCTCTACGAAGAGCAAAGACCAAAGCCCAGGCACATCTAGGCATCGATCGAACTTCTGCACCGACTTACGCTTTGGCACCATTTCGTACCCGACGCCTTTCGGTCCATACTGTAAAACCTTTCGCACAAACTATAGTCTTCTCCTATTCTGGGAAGTTTTCGACGTGCCAGACAAGAGGTTCCCACTACTAGCTCGGGAATTTGCAGCAACATACCGTGGAAAAACTTAACACATCATTCACCTGGATCTCGATGCTGGCAAATCTATCACTCACGCTGTTTCACAAATCTGAGCTGTAAATACACATGCCCAACCTTAACACATGATACACCGATAATTGGCTTGGCCGAGTTCTCGGGTAAGCGGTTGTCTTTCTGGCTTAATCATTCGTTGAGTGTTTCGTGTTTGATGGTGCCACAACATCCGTATTACCGATTCTGGCCTCCACAATACTTGCCGCGACTGAGTGGAAATTTTTTCGCGTTGGAACGAGAACCACTGGACAGATATGATGCCGTCAATCGCGCGTGGCGCGCTTTAGGTCTTGACTCTACTAATGTTACAGCTCCCATTAAGGTTCCAAGCATTTCCAGTGCAACCCTCTTCTACGACCACATCACAATCGCACTAAAACCTACAGCATTCGAAGCAGAAATCTCAGTGGTAGAAAAGACGTGACAGATCTTTTCGCTAAGATCGGGGGAGGAGAAACCGTTGTGGATCTCATTGACCCACGCTCGTTAATCCGGCTGCTCCATTCTCTGACACACTGTCCCCCCTACTTTTCACGGCATAAAATCATCCGCAAGGAATCTTAAGTGACACCTCATTTGCACAAATATTTACCTTGGATCATCGCGACGTGTGATAACATTCACTTGGGTCTCGACTTTGGCACATCTATGACTCACGGTGTTTCATAAATTTGAGCTATGAAAGCACTCACCTAAACTCCACACACGATACGCCGACAACGGTCTGGTCAAGTTCTCGAATAAATGGTTGTGTCTACGTCCTCTCTTATCTTCTTTGTCATCTCGATTAGGGGGGTAGTGTAAAAGGGCCAGATTTTAATTCAACAGCCTCAACCTCCAATCAGATTGCTCAACCTTATCGTTTTGTCGTGTACGTGTGTTCGAAGTTGTGTGTGGCCAATGAAGGTTGCTAACACCTACGGGTTGTGTGTTGTTGTTATTGGTCGGTGTACACGGGCAGAACAAAGTAGTATGGGGGTGCAACGAGGAAGACTGCTAGTCCGTTCGGTTGTTAAGAAAGGGGTACAGGTTTTTCTGCTAGAGGGATGCAGACGGATTTAAAGTAATGTCGATGTTGAGAACTAGTTTGTTTCTGGAACGAGCAGTTACCGCTGGAACACGTGTCAGCAGTAACTAGCGGGTCCTCGGATTCATTTAGTGACTGATTTGGTAACTACTGTCTGGAAGTATGCACCAAAATTGTATCTATGGCTTAAGGAAGGAACCCTAATTGAAAACAGGTCAATTTGTTGTGGGCCTTAGCATGTGGTCTTGAACCACGCCGGGGCCACTGAATTAACCCTGGCCCGATTACGCTTCCCGATACCCGCGATGAAGAAAAAGACTGGAGAGGACGTTGACACAATCGTTTACTTCAGGGCTCAACCACGGTGGTTTCGTTGTGTCGTGTGTGGGGTTTGCGCGTGTGTATTTATACCTCAGATGTGTGAGTCATAGATGAGCTAACATCGAGACCTAGGTTTCAGGATAATTCAAGAAAAATATTCGTGCGAATGAGGGGGTAGTTGAGGGTCCGCGCGGCTGGCGACATGCTGTGAAAAGGGGGACCCTATGTCGGAAGTGGAGCGACCGGATTAAGGGGTGCGAATAAACACGATTCACCACAAACTCGACGCAACTCAACGATTCCAGGTTCGCGGGCCATCGTGTGCACGCTCGTGAACGTCTGTCAGTTGGGGATCCATCTGTCGGAACAAGCGACTATGAATTGCTACTGAATTGTTGGAGCTATGATCCACGCATTCAGCGTCCTCGGGTCGTTGGATTGCGACATGGTACCGAAATACACCGACGTTAATCCAAATCGTTCAACAAAAAAATTCTGCCAAATGACGCAATTCTTGTTAATCCAGTCAGTTTGAGATTTTGATGGCAAATAGCATTGTTTGAATATCACAGTCGTATGCTTAAGTGCAAATCCATTTACCAATGCGTCCATCTGCCACATAGCCAGAAGGCTGCTTCTGTAGCAACCCTGCAATCTGGTGATGGTTCTAGATATTGTGCTTTACTGACTCACTCCAGTCAACTATTAAATGACCTTGTTTTGCTTTAGTCAAAACTGATCTTAATTCACCCAGTTGTGGGGTTCTGTGGCTACTACAACTCACAGACGCAGATGCTTTCTCGTGACCCAGGCAACGGCGGTCCACATACGCGCCTGAAGCCAAGTGACTACGAGGTAGACGCTGTGATCTTCAGGTCTGTGGAGTGGCTCTCTCGGCCTAGGAATCGAAACTACTGCCTCTTTCGCGAGAACCCCTTGCTCCCCTTTACCGGAGTCACATCCTTCCTCGGCAACCCGAACGCCTGCCACCTTCGACACCATGGTGGTGCGGTCCACGCCACACCGGTGTTCGGATGGCCTCCGGGCATCTGTGAATGCCCGAAGATTTCCGGTGTCACGGCTATACTGACGTATCAATTTTTGTCTTGCCTCCTTCCTGAAGGCCTTCCGAAACACCCTTTCATTCCTGACCCATTCACCCCACATTTTTAGCGATTATTGACTTGTATATCGTATTTCGAGAATCTAAAGTAGGGAATATTTATACGACCGGCTGACTTACTACCGTCCTTCTCGTTCACGTGCTCGAACGTAGGTGAAATCAAACCGTGGTGGAAGTTTTGTAAACTATTTTGCCAGAGAAGGCGCTTTTTAAACTCGGGGATCAATGCTGGTTCCAGGGAAAACCCGTTTGTTCCCATTCATTCAGAATCATTCGTTCAATCAATGTTCTTGTCACGTATATGAGAGCTAGCAAAAGTGAACCATAGGATAGTGGCTAAGCCAGGTTTCACATCAAGTAATCCGGGCACACCTCGCATAGATTTGTTTAAGACCTCTTACTCATTGTGAATCCATATTGTCATACTGTTGCGAACGAATCGATCGGACGCCAAGCGTTCCCACTCTTCACAGTGGATTTGAGCAGCACACTGTCAAATTGGGGTAGGTATTCGCAAAACAAAAGTAGCTACACCACCAGTCTCATAACCGCTCTCAAGAACGCACATAAACAGGAACCATTAATGTCGGAAGCAAACTGCTGCTGCTTTCTAAGAACATTCAAACGACTTCAGTGACCCATTACCATAATTCATCGTTTACTATCACTACTTTAAAACTACAGCCTCTCTTAGGAAGAGTCTATCCCGATTCACTCAAGTGAAATATTACTCGGTTAACATGGGTGGTTCAGAAATACTGCTGATTCAGAGACGCGCATAATGACAGGCTTCGTTGACACAACACAAGCCAGAACCGTTCCTCCAAAGTTAAATCCAGTGGCTGCGCCACCGATTTCATGTTGCTTCTAATTAATTTATGTGTCTCTAGTAGACTTCAGATCGGCCTCCTAGTCCATTTTACCACAAAAAGACACACGATTATGTGGACCGTGCCGCTATCCAATATGGCTGTGCTACATACCGGTGTTACAACCACCTTATTTTCGACAGGTCACAACTCCCTCCTCACGAGTAACACTGTTTTTTAAATCATTCCAGCGACAACAGCCCGTTGTCCATCTTGTTTTGCTATCTTGATTGGCTCAAATCGTCATGATTCATTCACCCCTCAAAATTAATGAATATCGACATACACTGCAAAGTTGAAAGTAGATAAACAGCAGTATGTCTAATGTGGTTTTGTACTAGAAGCATATCTGCATTGCAACACATTTATATTTCCTCCAACACATTCACAGGCGCTACTGTAAACATCATCTATGAGTAAGGCGCTACAAGAAACATTTTTTGCTGCAATATCAGATTAAACATATTTCAAAGTTTGCGCTCTACCGCATTAGCGCGACACTAAACGTGACGGAATCCCTTCAAATTGTGGTGTATTTCAAAGACACCTAGGCTATATAACCACCATATAAACTGGTGAAGAGAAATAAATTCAAATAATTTTTTTGGTATAAATTAATCATGTCACTCAAAGCCAAAAAAGCCATTGACAAAAATTTTCAACAAAACTTCTCTTGACACACTACGTAAAAATAATTTTCAATGAAGTCACGGACAATTTTGCACGTAAGCGTCATTCAGTTAGAGTTAATCAGAATCTGATGAAGTGCTTGATCAGTAATCGCCTGTTCAATTTTGGAATGCTTATAAAGTTCTTTTTTTGCATGCACCAATTGTTTAAAAAAATTTGTAAAAAAAAGTGTAATCAATGTTTAAGAGTTAAGCAAAATCGGGCAATTGGCAGGCTCCAGCTTCCAATGACAAAGAGTAAAGTTTAAATTAGTGACTTGTAATTTACCTGGTGACCTTTAGGACAATGGGCATTCAAATAAATTAAAATGAGTAAAAATGAGAGGGAATCAGAAGCTGATTTCATTGGGAGACCAAAAAGATTTGAAAGGATAGGAGCTGTTCGGGAAAGAAACGTGCATGATGTGAACGGCCACAAATTTCTAGCCAGGTTTTTCAAGCAGCCAACATTTTGTGGGCACTGCACTGATTTTATCTGGTAAGTAAGTAGTTAATATTTCATTTGTAGGGGGGTTGGAAGACAGGGCTTTCAGTGCAAAGTGTGCTGCCTAGCGGTTCATAAGCGATGCTTTGAATTTGTTGTCTTCCCTTGTCCAGGCTCCGACAAAGGACCCGAAACGAATGTGTGGCATTTTGCTTTGTAATTTTTACCAGTACATAGTACCGAAAATCTCACTGCTTCAAAAAACACACATATACGTCGCCAACATTTTGTGATCAGTGTGGGACCCTTTTGTATGGCATATTCAATCAGGGTATCCAATGCGAAGGTAAGGTAAATGTCATCAAGTTATTGAGAAAGTTTGTCAACTGAACGTCCACAGGCGCTGTGAAAAGTATGTTCCGAGGCTTTGTGGTGTTGATCACACGGAAAAACGAGGACGAATTTACTTAAAGATTACTTACGAGAGGCAACGTTTAATCGTCATAGGTACGCAGTACTTAATCTTACTATTTTAGCAATCATTCAGTAAAAGAAGCCAAAAACCTCGTTCCTATGGATCCCAATGGACTAGCAGACCCTTATGTAAAGCTAAAGTTAACTGGCGACAACGAAAGAACGCGAAAGTTGAAGACAAAAGTTGTCAAAGCATCTCTAAATCCCAGATGGAATGAAACTTTCTTGATGTACGTCAAAAACTGTTTGCCTTAATTTATTTTTGCGATTTTTGTAACTTTATATTGCTTTTTTTAAGATGTGCTATGTTATTTTCGTCGGCGTGCTATAAAACGTAGCTTTTATAATTTCAATGATGAAATTATAAAATTACAATAATTTAATTTGCTTAAATTTCGAAAGTAGAGCGGGTCACGGTGACTAGCAAATAAAGATAGCAGCAGATAAGTTGCCACCAAGAAAACTTAATAATGTGTTTGATGGTGCAGAGCATTTGTGGTTTTCAGCGACGCTTGAAACTCTACGTGAGTTTAAAAGTCGCAGAAGATGTTTGACAGGAAGCCGGTTTTATTATGTGGATCATGCTGTCTGCTCTTGAATCAAATATTATGCTTAAAATGATGCGGTAGCATTATAAGTTCACTCTGCGGTTGATAAATCCATAATAATAACTAAAAATCAATGAATTCAATTTAAGTGCGTTTAAATAGTGGTTAGGGAGAAGCGTTCTCAAGCCAATTAGTCATAAATCGAGCGACCATGCGCCGTAGCAAGATTGACCTGTTCACATTTTTGGTAATGTCTTATAAATGTCGAGACTACAGAGATGACAACCCTTAAGATTACCAAATTCACTTTCCATTCACCCACAGTTTATTTTTTTACACTAGTATGGATTAGAATAAGTTTATTTTCCACGCCCCTTCTTTGATTAATAATCCATCAAAGCCCTTTTCCAATTCAATCAAGCTTCATAGGTGTAAAGTTTCCAGTTTAGCATTTGCGGTAGAGTCGCATAAAACGCTATCAGTTGCCTTTTCTACCAAAAGACATCATCATCGACTGTGTACCAGGTATGACAACAAACAGGAAGTGTGTGTTGCACCTTGTACTGCCTCAAAATGTGAAAATTCAGCAAAAAAAGTTGACAAATCTCTTGCCTCATTGTTCACAATGGCATTTTTTGTAAAATTTATAGATTTCTCTTAACTTTCTGTTCAATCGGTTTTGTGGAAGTGTTTCGCTACGTGCACTTTAGACGCTTTTTATTCAGCACAACTAAATGAACCTCACCAAACACCATCCCATTCGTTGTGAAGATCATGGTTCGTGTTTGGCCAGTCAGAGACATTTTTGCTGCGGCCTACAGCAATAAAATCACCCTCGTGAAAGTGCTTCCCTGCCTCACCCCAAGTACAGAGCAGGCATGAAGGCGTTTTGCGCATTCCTTAACAGGGAAGCACGTGAAAACGAACAGGCAGCAGCGTGTGTATTTCTGCTTTCCGAAGCACAAAGCAAAAAAACCAATTGCAATGCGGTTTTTGAAGCGGACATCACTACACGGGGCTTGACCAAGTAGCGAACAGATATTTCGGTGGGCTGGCAGGCTTGGCAAACAGCATTTTCTGCAGGCATTTGCTGTCAGCCCACTCAAGATTTGGTTGTCGTGGTAAAAGGTTTCGCCATTTGGCTAGAATTTGACCGTTTGAGAGCAAACTTTATTCATAAGATGCTTTAATCAGCAGAGCCACAACCTCCTGGCCAACTTTCGTGGACTTAGGTTGAGCTTAGCGTAAATATCGCCTTGGGGTTTCGTGAGTACCCAGCAAATCTCTTCCTCCCCCACCCAACACACAAATTCACACGCACACACGATCGCTGGTTTTCCCACAATACCCATTTAACCAATCACAACGTGAACTGGTGGATCAAACGTTAAGCGCCTCACAGCCTAAACCGCGACACAAGACAGCATCCGCAGACTTAAGAAGCGTCAACTTAACCACTTACGCTTTAACTCAAACGTTAGGTGTGTGTGTGTGTCTGGTGGAGAACTCCACTCGACTTGGCCAAATTACCTGATTATTTTGCGTTTATTGACCTTACTGTCGGTTTAGTTTTGTAAAATTAAAATCCAAAGATGTGTTGTTTCAGATTAGAAGTGGCGCTGCTGTTCCACGCCAAGGTAACCTCCACTTAGAAAACGAGGAATGCCGTAGTGAGCGTTAGCAGTACACTGTACTTCGCGTAAACCACTGAGCCAGTATTGGCTTCTCGTCGTTTGTGTGGTCTGGAAATTGATCCCCATTTGTACTAAAAACAGTCTTTGTTTGAAAGAGTAGGTTAGGCGGTAATTTGACTCAAACCATTTTGCAGATTTGACAATTTGTTTAATAAAAGTACTCAAAAAGTGCACCGTGAGATGACAGAGCTGGCTGTGATCGATTAGTAGAAAAAACAGCAATTTCACCCAGACCATCGCTGTTCAAGGGGAATTTAAGAACAAGTTGTTATTTGTGGACACCCTGCATGCAATTAACTGTCATTAAATGCTAAAAACAGGTTTTGATGGACGCCTGACATTTGCATGGTAATGAGGACAATTTCTGAGTGGCTTTCAGGGGAGCACGCAAGACGACAGGCCGACAGCAATTAATTCCACTGTGATTGTCTCGGATTTGTTTAAATGCAGTGTTTCTTGAAGATGGGTAAGGGCGCAAAGTTTGACTCACGACATTAGCGCAAGGATTTGGGGCGTTCCTCATTCTAACCTGTTAGACGAATTCGAGTAAGTGTTGGTGGTAAGGAAAAAGTAACTTGTGTTACGAGATGGCAGGAATGTTGAGCAAAATTGAGCAGTGTTTTACTTGACCTTGGTTTGTTTAAGTGAGGTCAATCCCGAGGACGAGTCGAGGCGCCTGATGGTTGAGCTATGGGACTGGGATCGTGCGTCGCGCGACGACTTTATGGGTGCCCTCTCCTTCGGAATCTCCGAGGTCATGAAGCGGCCTGTCGACTGCTGGTTCAAGCTGCTGAGTAAAGAAGAAGGGGAGTTCTATTCCATCCCCTGCCTCGATGGAAAAGTCAACGCCCTCCTAAACATGCATCGTGCCAAATATGAGGTGAGTAGGCCCCAATCGACACGCCCCAATCTCAAAATCTCTAACGCGAAGCGTCCAAATATACACGCTGTTTGGTCAATAGCAAATCCCATGCTTGTTGTCTGTTGTCAGGACATTGTGGAAAAGCAATTACCTTTATTGTGCACATTGTAAACAAATCTAACCGATCGCCTTCATTTGTGGGGCTTCAGTGGCAACAAAGAAGTCTTGTGATTGGCTGGGAATATTGGACGAGGAAATGTCTTGTGACTGCTCTGCTTGCACACCTTGTCGTCGTTACTCAATTGGCGTAGCATTTCCTTTGTTGATTCGAAAATAAATTATCAATTTGACTGTCAAATGAGAGATATCTACCTAAATTTACTGAGACAACAGTTTATTGGTAAATGTGGGCTCCTGATTAGATGGTATGCCTACAGGTTTCGTTTAAATGGTGCATTTATCTTGGAAGGCAACCTAATTTTACTAACTGTGGTTACTTGAATTTACATATTTGCAACAAAGTGACAACTTCGAAAGCCCCGAATATGTTATAATATTCATGTTTAGGAACAACTGTCCTAAGGCTTTCAAAGTCGGTTTTTGTGTGTTCTTGGGGGATTTTAAAATAACCGTCAAAGTAGCGATATCTCGGTGTTATTGTGGCCACTCCGTTGTATCGAAGTTTACGTTACAACTAAAAACAGGCACAATGAACTACTTGCGGTGGGTTTTACTGAGTCACAGAGTGTGTTCTGACCAGTAATTATTCTTCAAACGCACGTGCACACCATTCTTTAAGCTTCGGTTTTACTATATCTAACTATAGTTTTACTTAATCAAGTATTTATGGATTTAAAAGATTTTTCTCGATAATGGCCGAAGGCACGGCCCTAGATCTTGCTAATTAGCGGAATGAAAGTAATGTCCGTGCCCTGCGGAAATCTCTGGCACGTTATTTAATCACGCAAGGAACAAAGGCACATCCGAGCCGCCAAATCACGGATCAATTTAGTCAATTTAAACAAACTTAACTTGTTGGTGTAGCATTATAGCGATATGTCATAAAAACAAACTCGCGTTTTTCGGAATCCTTGACGTTATTAATATCTTATTCAATAGACGGGAATCAAAAAGACGTGGATTCCATCCATCATTTGGTCCACGAATTTTTTGATTAAAAAGATTAATTCAGTTAGTGGAGTTTGTCGTGGGTGTGGTAAATTATCCAATAAGATGGGACCATGTAAGTTTGTCAAAAATAATGCCCCTAAGGAAATTATATTCTAGTTGTTTTGCTTCCCAAATCAGTTGATCAGCTAAGGGGTAATTAAAAGCAACCTTGAATTTGGCGCCGCTATCTCGTGTTTATTTAAACAAATAGTTGGATCTGAAAGTTAATTACTGTGTCTTCTTTGAAAACAACTCCATGTAATTAATCTCTAATAAATTCACGTTGCCGGTTTTTTGGTGATAACATGAAAAAATTATTCCGTTTTACAAATTTCAAAACTCTAGGCAATGACCCGGTTGTTTAAAACAAGACAAATTCTCAGTTGTACATCATGCATCTCAGTGACCTTGAATGACGTCGGCGCAGGTGTAAGATGAACCGCCGGTCACCAACCAATCAGATTCGTCCTTGATTAGTCGTCCCTTTTCTCTATTTAAGTACCAAATAACCTTAAAGAAAGGACTTTACGACCAATTTTTTTCGAAATCGAAATTGCAAGATGGTTAGTTTTGGGAATAAAATGTTTATTTTTATGTTTTGCAAAACATAAACATTGCCGCACCCTAAATGCCGCATGTTGATTGACTGACTCCCATTTAGCGGTGGCAATAAACGCATTCTGTTAGTCAGCAATTCGGAACACAAGATTAGCATTGAATATTCTTCATCTGTTGCATCTTCCACGACACACTCTGTGTCTGATTTCCAGCACAGCTGTTGCATTGCCAGCCAAGTCAAGGTGGTTTGACTGCACGTCAAAACTAGTTCCATTTCGCCAATGGTAATTCGAGCGAGGGTCTGATGTCTATGCAAGATGCGCAGAAGCCCTGAAGCGGCTCCTAGGCTGATCCGCCGTATCGATCGATGAGCGTTTGAAGTTTGGAGTCTCGGAGATGTTCTTAGAGGGTGAACTGACCATGCAAACAAACTCCTTCCGATGACCTTGACACAATCAATTTAGATTAGATTAGAATGTGTGGTTACACAGTGGTGTGACCATTGGTGTGATGTAGGTACAGTCCTAGTGTGAAATAGGCATTGCTATGTATCCATCAGTGTCCAATCTCGATTGTACAGAGATAGATGCCTCGCAAAATCTCACATTAAGAAGAACCTGTCACTAGGGGATGGTCATGCTCAAATCATTACTGCTGTATACTGCTGAATTCCATCATCCTTGGTAAAGTAAGAGGACTCACATCTAGCGTCTCCAAAATATTGATCGCTAAAATTTTACTTGAACTACTATGGCCTTGAAAATGCTGCTCAGGTGTTTTTATTTAAAGAAAAATTGCGTAAGTTAACGGTAAATTACAGGATTATCCTCTGCCGAGGGATGAAATTGGAAAGCCAATTGTTTTTTTACAGGAAGATGCGTGAGGAGAATGCATTCTAGAAAACGTTTTGTAGCTAGCGCTGGCTAATGCGTGGTATCAAACTATGCTTGCGCAGGCGATTAGCGATCTCTTTGATGGCGTGTGACTGACTGTTAGGCTAATGGTGGGTTTACCCGAATTGAGGAAATTTTGGCTGCGATACCGCATTGGTCCAATTTTAGAATGCCCCAAAACTATTGGACCATATTTGTGTCCTCCGTTTTATTTTGTTTTACTGAAGTGCTTCGAACGGATGTGATCGATAAGGAGTTGAAATGGGCAAATTTGATTTGTAGCACTGAAAACTTACAACGCCTTACACAATAGCCCGTGGTAGGTAGATATGAAATGAATGTGGTGACGCGACAGTCAGCAAAACTTTCACTTCAGGTACAGTTGCATAAATATTTAATAAGCCGAGAGTCGGCTACACAGGAAAGTTGTAAAAAACATTACAACTACACCAGGAGAATTGTGAACTTGGTGCTTTTTTAAAAAAAATACATGAAGGCACACTGCTTGAATCCATTTGAAATTTGAATTCAGCGCAGTTTGCTTTACGAAGAATGCACTTTAACTAGCTGGTGCCATTTTACTAGCCTTTTGTGCATTCATCGAATATTTAGTCCATGATTCGGCTCTGATCGTTTTCCGTTGCAATTCTCGCAAAATATTAACTTTTCATCACCAGTAATGGTTTGTTTTAATAAGGCGAAGTGGCAAATTGCAATTATTGATTTGTTGTGTTGAGTGGAAATCCCGCCACTCACGTCCTACGCAAGACATTTCAAGTTTCTAGAATGTGTAAAGGCAAACTGTGTTACCTTAGCTTCATTTACCAGGCTTTTGGTTCATTAAAACAAACCTGTAACAGATTTACTTGGTATTCTTCAATCCCAGCTGTTCTTCCCACTGACATATGTTTAATCCTGAATAACACATGACCTTTGTCAGCATACTTTGCGCTTACAGCACGTTCTAGCTCGTAGCAAGCACGTGACTTGTTATTGCGGTTTTAGAAATCAGGCACGTTTTCATATCACTTTGAAGTGTTCATTATTCTGGGAGTTGAATTTTTGTAAAAACGAAGTAAATTTGCTAACTGAATCGGTTAAATGAGGAGTGTTCGGGCTAAAATCATTTAACCAATTATCATTTCAGCATTTCAGGCCACGTAAAACAGCTTGTCCTAGACACAAGCCGTTTTACCACGTAACTAGACCTAAATCTTTCTCGGAAGTGACCTCACGTTGACCTGATAAGCACAGTCTCTTTTAGATTACTACTGTTTAACCGAACCAATTGGCTGGTTTTATGTTTCGCGGCATTGATGTTATCGCAGTCGGTTAAGCAAAACGAGAATTACGGCCTGGCCCAGTTTCAGGTGAAGCTGTTTCGTTTATGAAAGCGCCACTTTTTTGAAAACTCAGGCCTCTTATTGAGGCTAAACCGAGTTTATCGATCGATGGGTTACAATCAGCCAATCAATGTTGAGCTGTGGTCAAAAGTTGAAAATCAATAACCTAGGCAAAATAAAGTGAGCTTTAATCGATCGATATAATGTAAACGTTGGTGCTTCTTGGAGTAAATGAAATATGTCTACTTTTCGTCGTTATAAAAAGTGAAGGTTACAATAAAACTTCAGACAGGCGAATGGATTTCGGAGTGACAATATTAAGCACTTTCAAGTCATACCGGAGCACTTCATTAAAAGATTGTCATTTATCAAAATCGCAATCCTAGATGTGATTGTTCCCAAATTCCTTTCCAGAGTCCGAATGTATCGAAGCCAGAGGAGAACGATTACCGTGTCCAGAGCAAGCAGGACACCCTCCGAATTACAGACTTCAGATTTCTGCGCGTGCTCGGAAAGGGGAGTTTTGCAAAGGTGAGCAAACGGGGCATTAGTTTAAACGCATTGGAACACGACTGAAGCAGATGTTTGTCCCAGATAAGCGTTAAACAGAGCATCCCTTATCTGGGCCACCAATCACCTCCGCGTGTGTGGCAGCCACTCCGAGTAGCTACCAGTTGTGGTTTTGTTTCGTCACATTAAAAGTTTGCATTTGTCAAGCCGATTCTCAAATGCTCATTTGATGGCACTAAACACGAAGCTAGTTTGGACGTTGAGTTTTTTGACCTCTTCTAGGTATTCCTGGCAGAGCACAAAAACACCGACGACGTCTACGCCGTCAAGGTGTTGAAAAAGGACATTGTCATCCAAGAGGACGACATAGAGTGCATCATGACGGAGAAGAGAGTTCTGGCTTTGCAACAAAAGCCGCCATTTATCGTCCAACTGCATTCGTGTTTCCAGACTATGGTGAGTTACCGGTGAACTGTCGAAAGAATTGTCTTCATTGACATTCTAGAAAAAAAAATGGAACTTTCTTGAAGGGTTCCAAGTGACGAAATCGAGCTTCTCGCAAGTGTAGGCTCCAAGTTGAGAAGGATTAGTTAGATTCTAGTCAAACACGAAGACGACGGATACTGTTTTAATTAAACTAAAACAATTGTTAACAAATCTTTGATATTAGACGAACCCCGGTATTGTTTAATACGGCCAGGAAGATTGGTCAGACAGTACGCAATTCGATTGGATGGTCTCTCCTGGTTTTTGATTGGCTCAATTTTTGAAAGGGTCGCGTGTTTGAGCTAATGTCCATCAACATGTCCTTTTTGAAGTGGCAAGAAAACTTCGACATGATACGTGGTTCGATTTGAGGATCTTGTATGAAGAAGGACATTTTGGAAGAGCGATCAGGGAGGATGAAGTGGTGTTGGCTATTGGAGGTCGGTTATTTCAATGATTTAACATCAAAAACTGTCTTGGCATAAACTTGATTGCCTCTCTGATGCCACAACAAATTACTGACCCAGTTGTTCATACCGACCAATCATCTCTGAAGATCCACGCATCTGAAATCCTTGTGGTTGAAACTAGCAGATTCATCATCGTCACCAAGATTCTTGCATGACTGGCCACCGCGTCTGCTTAATCCCAAAAGACGCGGTTGCCTTTGTTGTGGGCCCCAGCATGTGGTCTTGAACCACGCCGGGGCCACTGAATTAACTCTGGCCCGATTACGCTTTCCTGATACCCGTGATGAGGAAGAAGACCGGAGAGGACGTGGACACACCCCTTTACTTCAGAGCTCAACCACGGTGGTGTCGTTGTGTCGTGTGTGGGGTTTTCGCGTGTGTATTTATACCTCAGATGTGTGAGTCATACATGCATTCTGGAACGAAATACGCGCCCTCGTTTAACGCAGAATCTTCATCTGCAACCGCACAAACGTACTAAGGGTTCACGACAAACAAATGACTCGTTGAGGAACACACTTGAAGAATGGCGTTTTTTGCATGCACATGAAGAAATTTTCACCTTTGAGGACAAAAGTTTCAATTTGGCCGAATTTCAGCTACTTGGAGTTCGTTCTTGCCAAATTTTATCTTCATTGAACTCGAGGGAGCGTTTGCAGAGGATTCAAAGAAGGTCCGGTAGTATGACGACACGACGTTGTCGACACAAACTTGAATCCGGTAGCGCGACACGTTGATTTTGTGCGACGATCGGAAGAACGATTTGGTTATCACCCAGGAAAGCTTCAAGCTACCAACATCAGGACCTATCATAGATAACCGACTGCCAGACAATTTTTGTACTAGTTCCGCGGTCAGCACGTGGCCTTCGACCTTTTGGGCTCTGTCGAAGGGTGCAGCTTCCAAGAATTCACAAAAACGTGGCTCATTCTAATGACATTCTCTTCCGCTTGGAACTCTTTGGTAGTGTCGGTGTTTGATAAGCATCAACCTCGAAACGAGCCAACTGACTTCTTCAGGCAATCGAGCATTCCGCCTGGGTAATTTTGCGTCCTCATTTCAAATCAACCCCCAAAATCCTACCCACTGGGCGTTTTGCAATGCACCCGGGAGTTTCCTGTAATTTAGACTAAAAATTTCCGCATCATTTGACCTTGCGTTACGCGTGCGCATTGTTGCAGTTGGGGCGAAATTTATCCGTGTGGATGCTAAATTTACAACGCAAAAGCACTCGACCTATTTGCTATAAATTGGTTGAATTTGTGTGTATCAATCTTTACGAGTTGGAATCACACTGGAACTGCCTTCGTTTTGCTGGAAGTTAATTGAAGGAGTGGGAACAAAGAGAGATTGTTGCTAATGGCAGAGATTGTTCTAGAATAATCTGGGGTTTCCGTATTGCCGGTAAACGCATCACACACTCGCAGAACGTAGACGAAATTTCCAGAACACCGCAACCATGACCTTGGCAGTGGTTCAAAATGGGCTGAGCCAATGGGATCGTACGCGGTCGATTTAAATGTCGCAAGCGGTGTGTTTGGCACGTCAGTCGTTGTCAAGTGGTAGACAAACCATCATGAAACATGTTAACAAACATTCGTAAATCTTAAAAGTTGCGCATTAATCGATTGGCCTCTCGACTGGTCATAACATTCTTGAACTGTCTTGAGCATGTCTAACGCATTTTAATAACGCGTACTTAAGACACAAATTGTCAAATGGAGTTAAGATGCCTTTTTTGGATAGCACAATAATCTATGGAAGACTACGACAAATCATGGTCTTGGATTTTTGAACAGTTGAAAAACCGCCGAAAGTATTGTTTAAATCTGCGGAATTCCGAGAGTGGCAATTCAAACACAGCACAATCGATTTGATGTTCAAGGGATTGTAGCCAGGGAAGCACGATAAATAGATGCACGCCCATCCAACGCTAATGCTCGTTTGATGTTTACGCATTCCTGCCGTGCAGGTTTCTCATTAATTCATCCTTCTATGCTCAGTTTGCGCTCACGTTTTTAGCTCGCATTAGCGTTGTGTTTGTGTAGCGCAACTCGAAACGCCTAATTATCCGTGTGTACACAGATATATCCTAATCACTGATGGACTATCTTTCAAATTAGCAGTGTGGCTGCCGTCTGACTAACATAAACCCAGCTTCATGCAGCCAAGCTACATTCTGATTGAATTGCGAAGCTCCGCAATCAACTTAATAAACTAACCCGTTTGTGTCAGGTTGCATTCGCGAATTACACACCAGAAAGTGCATTAACCATCCTCTTAGTTAAAATTACACCAGAGCATTTCATTCTCTACTTTTCGCCTCGTCGCTAATCTTTTCTTCGGCTTATTTTAGAAATCCAATTTTCCCTAAAATCAGTTTCATCAAGATAACCTTCAAAGAATGTGACCTTGTCGATTGGTGGGGTTTTTACATTAAAATGAAATGGACTCAACATTTGGCTCGACATAAATAATCGATTCACAGAGATATTGATTTTACCCGACGCTTAAATGTGCATTTTGATTGTCAGTTTCCATCAGATAGCGCGTCCGCGCCTGCACTTTGAACTGCCGCCAACATGTACTGCCTATCGATTAAAACAAGGAGAGGTGTTGCCTTAGCAAAGCTCGTCTGTCTTCCCGCTTTCTTCGTCCCGTACTTACATTTCCAGTCAGCTGTGGTGGTGGCTTGTTTTGGCAACAAAAGACAAGATGTCTGGTGGCACAAAGAATTTCTCGTAATTCAATTACTCTAATGCACTTTTCCGGTAGCCTGGGGGCAAATTTTGTGCATTAAGCTTTCTTCAAAATTAAAAAATAGCTAAATTGATGAAAACATTTTTGATTATGCAGAAACATTTGCGTGGGCAAGATTTCAGACGTCGATAAGTTGACGTTTGCCTTGACGTAATGTGTGCTTTTTCCTACTCACTAATCTTATAAGTAGTGTACGGTAAAAACGGTTTAAATCGCTCCCAGAATGAAAGATCGATTTTGCAGAATTCGCGCACAATCCAATGACTATTCAAACCACATAGCTTGGTGCAATGATTAAGCATTGATACCGGGCTCGGTGCGTGCGCCCAATCTAAGTCCTGGTGGCGATAAACCGCAAACAAACCTGCTTGGGGAGCCAATCAAATGGCATTAATGAACTGGTTTTGACCAATGATTATTCACTATTGATTTTGAGGCAATCAAATGGCCTATCGACATCAGTTTGGATTACACCACTCTCCATAAGCGCTATTGAGCTAAGCTGGTATTTGATTGGTCATAGGATCGTTGTCTGCCGCCAATATTAAAGATTTAAATTTAAAACTCGTGCCGCAAGCAGAATGCGGCGTTTCAAACCGTCCTGTCTACTGGCTACCTAGGGTTTCCCTTTTTTGCGCATTTATCAGGCATTTTTGATCTAAAAAAATTTTTGTTGACACATCGTACGTCGTACCTATTTTTTATAAATGCAAGTTCAACTTAAACTTTGAATGCATTAAGGTAACCAGATTTGCACATTTAGAATTATTCTCCACTTTCTGTCAATTTTTTTTGTCTTTTTGTTTACCAGATACCCGATAAAGAGATGCGTCGCTTTTCGTCTTACTCGTAATTGCGTCCAAATTTTGAAAAGCAAAACAAGATTACTACTTACAAAACGTTTCCCGAATGGTACATTTGGGCAGGAAAACCGAGTTAGCGTCTTTGTGATTCCGCATGGAAGTTTAATTGATGTAAAATGGAGTAAGGAATGATCCTCATTAATTCACTTAGTTTACAGATCTTGTAAAATTTTTTCGCGGCAACGTTAAAGTGCCAAATGTCAACTTTAGAAAGTACACGAATTCTTCATAGAAAAAGATGGCTTGCATTATTCAAATATTGCTTACTACGATCAATGACCACCCCCATTTCTACTGGTTGATTCATTTCTCATTTGTGGTTGCTCAGTTACTATGGTAACTTGTGTTGTCGCTGTTTTAATTGGTCGTTCGGCCATCAAAGAATGGAATGTTTAACCAAATCCTCATCTTTAACTAAATTCATTCCTATAACACCCATGATCTATAACAGGTACTAACAGATTGTACGAAGACTGACGCAGAAACGAGAAGGACCAGTCGGCGTTAGAGCTTCTTCCATCCTTGTCCAACCAATCCAAATCAAATTTTTGTGCTGGACCGATTGTGAATCGATATTTTAGGAGTCCGGGGACGTCACACCGCAAAGACTGATGTCTGTCTTAGTAGATCTTGTACTTCTAGCTGAGACCGAATTCATGCCCCAACAATGATTGGTCAGTAGAGATGTTGATCATCAGTACCACCTGGGCGCACTTGTAAAAGTACAAACGGTTGAATACGCGTTGCAACGGAGAAGTACACAGCCAGGGTTGCGTGAACTGACGGTTTCGCATGATTGGTTGGGAATGGAGAACATTAACTGAGTTCATCTGCTACAGTCTATCATCCATGAGGGTGGCACATGGATGATAGTTGCACAATTACATTATATACATAATTAGTTTGTTGTGAAAATAAGGAGGGCGTTTTGTCAAACTCATTTAGCTGCAAAAAATATTTTGATGCTGCAAGTGAGGCGAAAGCTGAATTGACTTGAATTTACTGCAAACTTTGTTGTCTTGGCAACGAGAAACAGCAAAATGAAAAACAACCTACAATGCCGTTGTCAAACCATGAAATTGACTTCTTTGTGTAATTAGATTGAAATTATGCTAAAACCCTTTTCGACGTTGCCTCGGTGTCTTCGTAATTACGCAAAACGCAATGTCGTGTAAGTTTATAACGACATTGTTAAACGCGATCTCCCAAGCCAAAGATTCTCATCCACTAATACCTTTTGCACAAACATGGCAACATTGGGCAATAAGATTCCTGTTGGGTCAATACTCATTTAAATTTTTTTTTAAAAATGATGTCCATACAAATTAATATTGGAGCGAAGTCAGCAATATCCTGTGCTAAATGATTGCATGTAGTCAGAGGGTTATTTGAAATATCCGAAACTCTTCTCTGGGCAAAATATCTGATAATCCACTTGAGATATCCGTGCTAGAAGTGAGCTCTTACGAATATTTTTGACTTGAAAAAAGTAAAAATTGTGTTAGTTGACAAGAGAGACCCCTGGAATTCGCATTTGACAGTGGGCGAGGTAGGTTTTTTTTTTAAAAAGGGCATAAATTTCCCCGGAAAAACAGAGCCTGATGTCCGAGTTTACAAAAACTTGCCTCAAGTCAGTATTTCTTTGTCAGGATCGCCTGTTCTTCGTTATGGAGTTCATAAATGGCGGGGATCTGATGTACTGGATCCAACTTGTCGGCAAGTTCAAGGAACCAGTCGCGACGTAAGTTTGTCCACACTTGAAGCCAAATTCAAAATTTCGAAATCCCTTTACTTCGACCGAAATATCCGTTCCTGTCTCATCCTTACCAAACAGACATAGGTCAAAAATCAGATCACCATTCGTCTGTTGTTGATCAGTACTGAAAAGCGAGCGATACTAGGCGTCATAATATGGACCAATGATGGCACTCCTGTCCGCCATCTTGTTTAATTGATTATCTAGTCATTTTGACTCTCCGTTGACGAATTACTGAAACTGGAAGCAAATTAAGCAGGTTTTAACGAATAATTTATCTTTGTTAACAACGGAATCGCCATTCTAAGGACCATTTAAATTGGTTTCACAATGCAAATATGATCTGACTAGCCAAACTGCATGTTTTAAACAAAGGTTTTTAGGGACCGAACTCGTGACGAAAAGAACGATAGTTGGGGCTAGGTTGGTTGGTTGTGTGGGCCATCCCGCATGAGTCTTGGATGCATGCATCTGGTAACCATTAAATTTTTCACCGGTTTTTCACCAGGCTAGGGAACCGCATCAAAAGAATTGGGGGTAATTTAGGGATTGAATTCATTTGCAGCTGTTTGACGACAACCGTGAAAAAAATGCAGCGAGAAACAAGCATTTATTCACCAGTTAGACACAAATCATCTCACCAACCAATCAGATTTATGGTTCCAATTAGTTGCTGGCCAATGAAAACTGCTCGTGAGCAGTTTGGTCATCGATCGCCAACATTAGCGAACACAGCGGAAGTTGCCTGGAAAAATGACTAAAAAACAATAATCCACGCAATTCGCAAGTGAAGTCCTTCTGCAATTTTAGATTTTATGCGGCAGAAGTTGCTGTGGGACTGTTCTTCCTCCATTCACACGGAATCGTGTATCGGTAAGGCTTCTGGTGGTTTCTTGGGCGTATTTTCTGATGATTACTATAACATCATTATTGATGTAAGACTTTAATTTGCACAAGTGTCACGGGAAGAATTAGCATCACAATGCTGGGTTGTTAGCATTACTTCGATTCGGTTCTGGTTAGCCTACTGAAGTTACAATCAATAATATTGGCAGCCAGCCACTTAGAGTAAGGAATAAATTAAAACGGAATTTCTATAAATATGCGTAATCTAATTTGAATTTGGCTTTTGCGAAATTCATTGCATTATCTACTAAACTCAGAGCGAAATTGCTTCCGATTGAGGGTTTAAGCGCAAGAAAATTTTAATGGTCTTCAAACCGTCTCCTATGTTCAATTGTCTAAATCAGGCAAAACGTTTTCGTACTAAAAGACTACATGACGAAGCCAGTGATAAACAGACATTGGCAATGCCTGCGCCACGCAAATGATATCATTTAGGCCCCATGCAAGTTTAGATGCTCGGGACTTCATTATCATACCTTAACCAATCAGAAGCTGCTTAGACATATCACCAACGAAGGAAACAAGACATTGGGTGATCTAAGATCTCTGAGATGTTGAGCGTACTGAATCAGATCAGTGGCCTTTCTGTTTCTGCTTCCAGGGACTTGAAGCTGGACAATGTCCTTCTTGACTTCGAAGGTCACGTCAAACTGGCTGACTTTGGTCTTTGTAAAGATGGAATCGTAGGAACAAGCACCACGCAAACCTTCTGTGGCACACCAGATTCCATAGCTCCTGAGGTATGCTGTTAAGGCGTTCTCTTTGTTTAGGAGAAAACCACCCAAATAACGTTACCAGATCCCTCGTTGTCGCTAGCACCGACCTTCCCACGCTAATACAAGAACAAGACCAGAGCTCGAGTAGAGAGCCTTAATCACGTCAGGCACGTGCGGAGTGGGTTGTCAAAAGTGAGACTAATTCAAGTCAGGGTTGGCCTTGACTTGATAAAAAATGTAATAAAACACATGCTAGTGAATTAGTGTAAATTGTGCCAGAAACCAACGACGAGCAATCTTGGGGAATCGTGGATCCCCAACACTCTTACAACCATCTGCCGTAGTTGAAGACACTTGCACAGATCATGGAAAATTTGAGCCTCCTTCAATAACACCTCTTATCGATTATACAACACAAACGCAAAATCTGGCGAGTCAGTTCAGAGTGAAATTTTCTGTTCGTACAATCCCCTGATGCATTGGGCTCTTCTTCTTCCTGTTCTAGATTATTCAACGGCGAGCCTACGGAACGTCGGCTGATTGGTGGTGCTTTGGTGTTCTCATCTACGAAATGCTCGTCGGACAGGTAACTACCTGACCAATCAGATTTGACCCACGGTTAGGTCCAAAATTCACTGATAAACTACGCACCTCAAATGCATTGTTAACTGTTTCTAGGAGAGAGCACACATTTAGCCATCGATTTAACAACTACAAGTTAGGTGTATCTGCAAAAACGGGGAGCCAATCAGTGAGCAGTAAAAAAGGGGGAAATTTAAATGCATAGGGGCGTGGCAATTATCCAATAGATTCTCTACCCGCAGCATGGCTTAAGTCTATGGGCTGCTGGATAGTTTGTGATTGTTTCATTGGACAAAACTAGTAACGTTCATTCAGTTGGCTTGCAGTTTGCTAAATGCTTGTTTTAATTTTTGAATTCGGTCTTTGGTTGATGGATATTTCGTCAACCGGCCTAGTCCATGTGGTCCGGCTCACAATTTTGTTTAAATTGAGTGTTAAAGCAGTAAACTAATTTCAACCGAGGGCTGCTTAGATGAACTTTACAATTTTTAAAGTACTTTTCCAGTTAAAACCGCTCTCTAGCCCCCAGAACAGGCGACAAAATGAAGACGTGACCTGGCGAAGAGGAAATATGTGGTAAATTTGGCTAGCCAATCTCCAGGACACCTCTTTTGGTGTTGTGTACGGCCTTGTGCTGTCATGGCGTGAGGTTAGTCGAAAGTTCAAACTTTGTTTGTGCCAATGTCAAGAAAGTGATGCGTGAAGACCCAGTCAAAATCCAATTGTCTGTGTGTTTTAGCATTTTATACAATCATTCATTCACCTTCGAATGACATTTTACCAATTTTGGACATTCACTTAATTAAAACAAGTAAAGTGTGTCTAGTGACCAATTCAAGATCACATATGAAATAAACACCACAGCTAATTTTAGGTAAATGTTTGAATATCCATCCCCATATGTACCACACATGAACAACGCTTATTTATTAATATACACCAAAACGGCAAAATAACGTGAACAACCTCACACCAGTAAAACAACGGCCTAAGCAGGAAAAACATATTTTTCTAATTAATCAAACAAATTTGAGCTTCCACGTAACCGCCACGTATATATGAATGCCGCAGCTGGAGGGAATTTCTAAATAGCACAGGAGACTAACTACTACACGCAGAAACTCATTATAAGACCCCGGGCAACGGGACAGCTGTTAATTAGAAGACTCAGGTCTTTTGGGTGGTCAAGCAGTGTAGATGCTGCGAAGGATAGATTTTGCGAAGGTAAAACGATGATAAATACTGCCTTGTTGGTACTAGCCTACGCTACACAGACATGCAAAAAATGCTAAGACAAGTAGCAAGAGGAACAGCCGGTTTGTTATACTGCATAGCCAAGCTGTGTCTATGCGTGTGTGTGTGCGTGTGTTTGAGGGTGCGTGTGAATCGCAGACGTGCAGAGAGCGAAGTGTCTGCCAGCGGTTTCGAACTGGCGCAGTTGGTGTGAACCCGGGGCTGAATGATAAATTGCGCCGAGTGGGTCAGTTAAAAAGCAAATAGGGCGTGGGGAACACGCATAACCACTTTTCCGTTTACCAGTTAACTTACACTCTACAAGCTCACGCACACGACAATCGTTTCCATACCCAATGAAGACTCCATATTTGATTTTCAACCAATCAGATTCTTGTAGTTTCAGCAATCAAGGTGAGAAGTTACTGCTATTAGTCGGATATTCAGCTTAACGGATTTTGAAGCACCCTGGTTTATGTGGATTAGGAAAGTGGGTCGAATAAGTACTAATCTAGACTGCAGGTCTCCTGGGAATTCGAACGACCTCAATGCGGCCGGGCAATTCTGTGTCGCTTCGTGGTAGTCGAGCAGGTCACACGTTCGACGACACACCCGCGTGGAATGTTTCGGATTCTGGCGGGGAATCGTGATGAGTCACGTCCAGGTACTTGGATTATCCAATGTATCTGTTTGTTATTTGTCTAAATACTTTTGTAGCTTTTGCAAAATTGTGCTACTGCTTTTATTGGACATCAAAGTCACCCTATCGTTGATGGCAAGCTCATTCAAACAACCACTACGCTGCTGCACTTCTCGGCGTTTGGTTGGCTACTTTTATGGAACATCACGATGCTATTGGCCGCCGGCGTGGTGTTTAAATGAATTGGCGACCAACCCGAATGCACCCTGGGAACGTGCTTTTAACGGAGTTGCCGAATTTAACGCTGCCGCAAATACCATTGGGCAGTTTGACTAGCTTTTCCGTGTGAAACGTCCTCTTTGTAAGGAGAGACATCACCTTAACCCCTGGGGGCCAATAAATAAATGTTTTATGCATCATTAAAATGCACAAGCGACACTGACACGGCAACTTCAAAGCAGCCAACCACGTGGCGTGAAGCTGTTGCCAATGTTAACACGAGTTCAAACACCAACTGGAAGATAATCTCTCTGGAGGAAGCATAGAAAAGAAGCCTGCAGCACTGCTGCGGTTTTTGTGAATGCGCAAAACTGACCAATCAAAGCAGGCGGCAACTGCGTTCATTTTATAACCCCTATGTAGTGCGAAAGGAATGCCCCAGATACGAGACAAAGTCTGGATTCGCAGCCAGAATACTGGTGACCAGTTGTTGAAAACTACAAGATAACTACTAACCAATTGACTAGGAAGTGGTTTCGGTTGTCGCAAATCCCCTGAGCACTACAAAACAAGTATTTTGTGACGATTCTGTTGAGGCTCACATCAAGAGGTTTGAAGGGCACAATTTGAAACATCTGAAAAAGAGCGTGCGCCAGAAATGCTGAAAGGAGGCTGGCTTGCGACACGGTTCAATTAGCGTTGACCTACTTTAGTTGTTTATGGACGCGGTAGAATGATTTTCAGTCACTCAATAAAACGACAGGCACGATCGATTGAGCGTGTTAAGGGGCCACTTATCTGGATCGCGGACATTCTCTTAACCAAGAAGAGTCTGTCGTGAATCCTGTTTACTCAACCCCTAATCCGGTCGCTCCACCTCCTACACAGGGTTCCCCTTGTCGCAGCATGTCGCCAGCCGCTCGATTCCTCAGCTCCCCCTTCATTAGCCCGAATATTTATCTTGGATTGTCCTCACACCTAGGTCTCGATGTTAGCGCATGTATGACTCACACACCCGAGCTATAAATACACACGCCCAAACATCACACACGACACAACGACACCAAGTAATCGGTTTGGTCGGCTTCTTTGTGTCGTGATTTTACCACCTCCACAAGCAATTCATTTGTGAAGGGCTACATCTGTGTTTCATAGCGTAACAACTCAGCACATCGACTAATGAACTCTAACACAACGCGTTTTCGAGACGACAAATGACTCGAGGGTGCTTGAGAACCAGTAGCATACCTTCTCAGAGTTAATCCCTGCTGTAGCCTTGGTCACTGCAGCTGGGAGTTGCTGGGGTTCTTCTGGCGTCTCTAGAATTGGCAATTTGCCTTCAAACTACTGCCGACATCCCATTGGCTCAACAGCAGAGCTCGTGTGCTTAACCCTGCCATTTTCCAGAATTTTTGCCACTTGAAGTTCTCGAAATTCCTGTTATGCTTCACTGCCCTGATGCTGCTACTGCTGCTGCTACCACTAAACCCGTCTTAACAACAAATTCGATCGAGTCATTCATCCCATCAGGCACAAATCCACAATTTAAATAGTTTCAGTTCGCAGCCAATGTCACGTGATTGGTGGGTTGATTGATTGACTTGACCATGGCCTCGTCCCTTAGATATTACCAATAGCCAATCAGAGGAAGTAATAATTAGCCAATCACCATTCTATATTGAAAAAGTGTGGCAACAATATCAAGCACTCCTCTAAGCATTCAAGTAATTCCATTTTTTTGAAAAATTGCTAGTGTTGTGATTGTTTTGAAGGATAACTGTCAAGTTTATGGTTTAATTTCTTTTCACTTATGACAACTGCCACTTATTTGGCTCACGTCCGACACAGTTTACGTGTAAAATTTATGTGCATGTTTTATTTCAAAATCGCAATTAACAAGGAGTGAGTAAATTAGCTTTTGTGGAACAAAGGTGTCAGAAGTTCCGTTTAAACTCAAAGCCTTAGTTGAACCGGATCTCAGTCGTGTGGTTGTGCCTAGTTATGCATTGATAAAGACAAAAGCTACCATGTAATCTCGGATATAGATGGCAAAAGGACGTGGAAGACAAGCAAATGATACGTAACTAATCAACCTGTATACTTTGTATACGTAACTAAAACGATGCTTCATATCACAACTCTCAACTTACATTATGGATCATCCCCAGTTTCAACTAATTGTCTTTTCAGCCGCCATTTTCAGGGGAAGACGAGGATGATCTCTTTCAGTCAATTCTTGAGGTGACACCTTCCTTCCCCAGAAACCTTTCAAAGGAGGCGCTGAGTATTTGCCGAGGAGTGAGTGCACTTTTAACCGCCGTTTGTTAAACTGTAATGCTCTTTGTTCAATGTCTAAGAAATCCACGATTCCTGAGTACAAAGAAAGTGATGATGAAACGTTTGTATGCGGGAACCAATAGCTGATCACTGAGTTATGCCGCATCCTGTGATTGGTGGCTTCACGCTGGCAATTAGCCAATAAGAACGGCGTATAAGATTTATTGATTTTGCGAGCTAATGACAAATATGAAGAGGTCATCAAATGCTTAGTTAATTCAGTGTTTGTTTTCAGTTATAAAACTAATTTTACATTTCTCCTCCATAATTTAAAAACGGCAATCCTTTTTGATGGGGTTGGAAATTAGTGAGACAAAATTTATTCATTGGCTTATGCTATTAAGCAAATTTTTTGACAAGAAATGCATTTTGGTTAATTTTCAAAGTTTCATGTATTCCAATTCTAATACTGATCAAATTCATCAATTTATAGCACTCAAAATTCGTAATATAGCGAAAATATTCATTTTGCAGTGTTACAATGTGCGATTGTTCGAATAAGCGCCACATCTTAAATTAGTTCAAAAACTGTTGAGATTAACCAATCATATCCATAGGTCTGGCGATGTGACGTCACGTATTATTTTAGGCGTAGAAGCTTAACTAGTATTCACGGAGTTTGCCGCATCAGCGAAACTTAGGCGCTGACTGCAAGGCTTGCATTTCAGAAGACAAGTTGTGTTCCACCTAGTCAACGACGTTGCTATGGCAACACTTCCCCTAATTGCATCTTCGTTAGATTGATTTCTTGGACTTGTGCCCTGCCCAAATAACCTTTTTCGTTAACCGTGTAGATAGTCGTCTATCAGAAATGCGAGTAAAGGCTGTTTATCTAGTCATCACAGCCAAATGCAAGTTTTGAAATTTATCTTACGTAATTTAATCCTAAAGAAGTGTGTCATAGTTTTATTTTTCCGTGTTGTTTGACAAGCGAAATGAAAAATTTAAGTTTATCGCATGAACCAGTTAGGAAAATTGGTGGCGATCTATTTCCTGCAGAACCAATTTTGGTGTTAGTAGTACCGAATTATTCTAAAATATCGTTTTTGACAGCGTCGTGTCTAAAATACTTGGGAAATTCAGTATAAGGTGTACCATAAACACTTAATATTGGAAAATTCACCTCTCCGATAACATTCGAGGTGTTTGCGAAATTTCAAACGTATCTAAGGTACAGATAAACAAATAATATTTTATAACTGTATAATAATGCGAGTTAGGGACACGACATCTCCTTAATGTACAAAAGAAAAGTTAAATCTTTTTATAGTGACAAAGGTTATTTATGACAAACGACTTATGCTGATCACATAAATACGTGTATTGTCTGACCGCCATGTTTAAATGCAGTTTTTGAACAAGGAGCCAAATTCTCGGCTCGGCTGCAGCCCAGTTGGTTTCCTCGAGATCAGGGATCACGTTTTTTTCCGACGCATTAACTGGGAACTGATCGAATCAAGAGCTGTTCAGCCTCCGTTCAAACCTTGCGTGGTGAGTTGTATACTACTTGCTTTTTTTCAGCAAAAACGCTCGCAGTGTTGCAGACGGTCACATTGTTTTCAGTGGAAGCTTAACTGACAAGAAAGCCGTTTGCTCAAAAAAGGTGCAAAGGGTAAAAGGTGGACACTGACAGAGGCTGCGTGGCCAGTAGATGCATATTTTTGGGTGTCATGGAGACTTCTTTTTATAGGTGGACAAGATAGTGACTTGTGTGAAGGGATTGAATTACATTTGAAGCAGTGGCTTCTATTTCACACCCCCATTGATACAGCAAAGCTAGCTCAAAGTCTGCAAGATTGGGTGCGTGTGCATGTGGGCTAGTATTCACATAACTCTTGAACAGTAGCCAATGAAATGCAAGTTTGTATAAAAAAGGTCAAACTCGTTCGAGCACGCTTCCGTTTATGCGTTCACATGAACGGGGAGCAAAATATACGCTGAAAATCCCACACACTAAGTATCATCTCAGTAGTTATTATGTGATTTCGCCAGATATTGTGTGTGGCTTTTACAGCGCGACAACCGTGACACAAGTAACTTCGACAAGGCCTTCACCGACTTACCAACAGAACTGTCACCGACGGACAAGCTCTTCATCATGAACCTCAGTCAGACCGAGTTTGTGGGATTTTCGTTTGTAAATCCGGAATTTGTGGTCGAGGTTTGACAGGTGCTCAATCTTTGGATGTGGTGGACCCACAACTATGCATTTAACGTGTACTTCATAATATTATTGAGTAAATCCACTTTTCCTTACAAATAGTTTGTTTTGTCGAAAGTCAATGTGTATCTTGTTCAACTATTGCATATAGGCAGGGTCGAATCCAGTTGTACAAAAAGTTTAGAAAGCGTTATAAAGTTTATTTGCAACCCCAATAATAGTGCTATTTTTATATTTCTGAGTTCACTGTCACGTTCAGCAGCCGTTTTTCTTTTTGCAGACGATCAAATTGCTCCCAAACCGAACTGTAGTATTGATTAATTTGATCATTTAGTAATTAAGTGTTTAGATACAAAGTAAACTGCACTGGAATACGGAAGGTAAAACGTCATACTTAGCCAACCATAAGCAAAACTTTTACTGACAGATATTAGTTGAAACGCCTTTAAATTATAACAGATGCATTGCCTACCGACTAAATATAACGTATGTACGGCAAACGCATTGGGGAATCGTTTCCAATTTGTTAATAGGAGTTTAAAGTGTCTATGATGCAGATTACACAACTCTTCAATGGCGACAGATGGTGCTGATCCACTTTACCATTTGTTGAAATTTCAGAATCAATCGCCAACACACATTGGCACCGCAGGATCATCCAAGTGTGTAAACGGCAAAGTTTCTTTTACTAGCACACCTGACCATAAACAACATTTAAAGTCAAACTAGTTCAAAGTTTTGTCCTGTATCTGAAGGATAACGGGCATCGCTATTTACCATGCCATCATGAAAAAGAGAAATTTTGTCAAAAAATACTTCAAGTTATGTTAATGGTACCATAAGAGTAATAATTTAAAAAAATCAATGAGGTAAAGTGTTATATTCAAAATAACTGATTCTAAAACAATACTAACTGCCGTGAGATACTAAAAGTTAACACACTAAACAACAAAAATCTAAAATTGATACTATTTGACTTGTAAGCGTATTCGTCCCAGTAATTTTATTAATAGATCACTAATCAAAACTATAATTGTAATTTAATGTAAATCAAGCTAAAGAGTATCTCATTAAGTTATCAGCAACAAAAAAATTTGATTAGGGCTTGTCGAAATAAAATCGTGAGGTGAAAGGACATTTTGAAATCAGACTGACTTACACACACCAAGTAGTTGAATCAATGCCTTGAATGTTTTGGTAAAGGCAAATACATTTACTAAAAAACACTTTTAAATCACCAGGGCTTTAGTTAACCAAAGGCAAAGTGAATATCTAGGGTAATTATTCTTTTTTGTCTTCCATTCCTTGGCAAGTGTGTAAGCAAAGAAAGTCACAACTACGTTTTAAGTAAATTAAATACGACTGCAATGCCTTCAAAATTTTACGCCACTACTATAACTGTAGAACTTTTGTTGATATACTGGGAGTCATAGGAATTGCTGATTTCAATAAACAAACTACCGTTGTTAAAAATCAATGCGCAATATTTATCTCAATCTCCGCGTGTTCTTTTAGCGTAAAATTATTTAAGTATTTTAGTTTTTCACGTGAAATGTACTAAACATAATTTTGCAACGCAAACAACGCCTGAGGAAGATTTCAGATGATTGTTTTAATTGTTTGTATGACTAGGTCATGGATTTTGCTATAGCTATTAAAAAATAACGTGATTTTAAATAGCAAAAATGAAAGCAGTGTGTCGACCCCCATCACCACCTCAAACAAAATCTGAGGCACAGGCCATAATCGCTTCTTTAATATCAGACATCATATGTGAATGTAGAAATAGAGGGGAAGATGTTGCAGAGCCTGTAGCTGCATTTCTGGTAAGGTCAAACCATCAAAAATCAGATTTTAGGTTAAAGCTGTGCTAATAAATAAGGAAAATGGGTTTGAAGAAAATAGGCTTCTATATAGTGCTGACGTGCAGAGGTTGAAGGAGGTGAGTCGTAACTTGCTGATCCCAATTTAGATGTGTATTAATCGCTTAATGGACTTAGATTCTCCAACACTGGATACCATCAAGATGCAGATATTTTTTGACCTTAATTATATAACAAAAGGTAATTTCTAGTCCTACATGTCATATAAGGTTAGGTGATTGCATTTTCTTTTGTCAAGTTCCATTTGTTTAACAATTGTTACTCACAATTATCTTCGCAATTTCAAATATTTGATATTAACATAATATTTCGCCTTTCATTACGCACGTGTTAGAAATCTTAATATTTATTAAATTGTCTGTTTTTGTAGCATTTTATTTTGCTTCTACTCTTGTCTATACAGTTGACGAAACAGGAGTTCTCACTATCCATTTCCTTTTGTTATTTGTGATTATCATGTTTTTTTTACTGCATTATTGGGAACACACATCGTTTTTTTGTGTATCTTTAAAAATTAAAAAATATTGACTAGAGATCTTTCTGTAAATATGATTTCGCAGCCTCCTTGCTCCCCCGAAGTTGCTATTTTTGTTTCAACCACACAAACCAGGTTGCATTACTTCGGTTTATTTACATACGTCAGACTGAACTTAACTGACTAAATATGTTTCAGTGAAACCCATGTTTTATAACTGAACTGCCCGTATTTTTGCGCTTTTTGTTCCAGATGCATTCTTAAAAGAACATAAGCAAATCATTTTGTCAAGATTTAGACCGATTCTAAGCAAAATTTGCGGTCATGTTAAGAATACACCTGAGGAATATGAGAAATTCTACCGAAACTTACTTTCTGGCATACTTATTTTCTCCGGACTTGGATCGCCAACACGCATCGCAGTCATCCGGGAAGCTACGGGTAGGAGTTACAAAAATTTTCAAATGCATTTTCCACGCGCTTTTTAAAAGGTGTATTTTGCATTAAATCACTAAAGATTCATGATCATATTAGCTAAATGTTGAAAGTGAAACTCTAAATATATAAACTTTATAATTAAAATGCGTCATTAGCTACCAAAATTCACCAGATTATGTCATCCCATTTAGCCGCTCTAAAGACCATCATGCCAATGAATGAAGTGCCAACGTTCACCTCTCTGCCTCCGGAACAACGCCAAGAGAGATTTAAGGGGCTCACTGACATAGTTCTGGGCATGCGTGTTTACAATTTCAGTATGGGGTTCGGTGGCGAAGGCATCGACAATCGTAAGTTGTTTCCTCATTTGTGAAATCCACCTTGTCCCTCCAACAAATAGAAATTGTTTTACTCAAAACTTGTTTATGTGAAATTTAAAAATCCACCAATTAAGCAGTGAATGATGTTGTTTTGTTGATTTTTCCAATATTTTTGTCTTTTCAGTTCCAGAGCTACTGGATCAAACTATCAGCGCAACGTTGGAGGCATTGTATAAGCAACTAAACGAAAATGAACATCTCGCAGCAATCTACACAAGTGCGTTTTATCTAACTGGCTGCTTTCGACTCAAACTTCTTGCGAATTTTTACGTAGATCTTAAAAAAGTACTATGCACATGAACAAAATCGAGCAAAATAACTCGAAGTGAAAAAAATGCCAAGTTCGTCTTGCTTCCTTTGAAGGCTTGTACCTCAAGCTGGCGGCGTTTGACGTCTCCACGGAGACAGTGCCGAATGTAGTGTCCGTTGAAGCCGAGAAGATGGGCATCACGAGGAGTTTGCTGAAGGCCGCCACCATCAACGCCAGGCAACACGCAATGTACCTACGGCGCCTGCTGGCAGACATCAAAGAGGTGGAGAGCGAGCATGCCTCTGATAAGAAAAAATTATTAGAAATCCTTGGTGAGACTCTGACCTCACTCAGGTCAAATGTTGACCCGCCTAAGCACTCAGTCCAGGTACGTCTGCTTCCTGTACATGAGTAGCAGCAAGGGCAAATTAGCAAAATAATGTAACTCTCGTCATCCCTCCATTGGCGTCTTGCAGTTGTCCATCGACGTGGCCAATGTGTGGTGGCAATTCAGGGACAATCTGGTATTCATCTCGATGCTATCTAACCTCCTTAACAGCCTTCAGCCATTTGGTGTCAAGCGACACGCACGTCTGGCTGAATCTCAACTCCGAAAACTGATAAACGAGTCAGAAATTGTGTGGGACTGTCAGCGGCCGGTACGTTTTCCACTCATTCAAAAGCCCTAATAGTTAAAAATTCAAGTTTTAAAAGGTGTAAGCTAAACCTTCTTAGGAGAATCTCATCTGAGAATGCTAGACGCCACCATGATTCTACACAGAGCTCTGCTGTTATGAATGGAAAGTGTTGAGTAAATAAAGGGCCTGATTCCGGGCAAAATGAAACAAAAGCCAATCACAATCGAGTACCCAGAAATTGGTTTTGGTGTAAACCAATCATAGTCTTCGACCTGTCCCAATAGCAATCTCTCTTGTTAAATACTTTCCTGGAATGGCTGGGTTTTCGCGTTTTAGTGATCAACCTGATGTTTCCTGTGTTCTAACAAACCTTTTCTCCCTGTTGGCGTTGTCAACAGAATGTAATTGGAAGGGTTGAGCCCACCAAGGAGACAGAATCCCAGTGGATTTTCCCAAAACCCACCTCGAACTTGAAAATCAGCCTCAACGTAAGCTGGGCTTTTAACCGAACTTGTCTCAGGGCTTTTGCGCGTGGTCAGTGGTCCGCTACCAGGGCCTGCCCATTCCCGCTAAGAAGTGCCTTGGGGTGCTTAAATTCAAGGAGAACCACTTCGCTTTCTCGACGGTTGACGCGGCTACGGAATACGAGAAGTGGTCGGAAAAGTGAGTTTGCAGGGTGCAACTGCCCTGTGGAAATCAAGGTTAAGACGAGTTCTACTGGGGCCATTTTGCACCGGTGTACGCCTTTCATGCTCCGGACTTTAAAGTCTGTTGTTTAATTGAGTTAGCTTTTTACCAGGTTCACCTACGAGATAAGCGAAATCGCACGCAGGAACCCCGAATTAATAGAACTATTTGATCTACACGCAATGTTTGACAACGGCAAAGCATATTTTCCCGTAAGTTCCTGGGAGACTAGATTTCACGTAACATGAGCAGGTTAAATATGTTTTACCATGTTGAGGAAGTCTGAATCCTCTAATTAGCTATAATTTTGCGCAACTGACAGGTGTCTGCTAGACTCTGTTATTTTGTTTTTACAGGGACGTTTTTCAAATTTAAATTGCCCTCCCATTTATCATTGGCTCATTCCTTTTAAACGAGCCACTCATTTTAAACGTGGTCAAGACCGACCCAGCCACACATTCACATATTATCTATGCCTTTTGGCTAAAACAGAAAAATTTCCCCGTAAGGTGAACCTGTTACTGTGCTGAACTCAATTGCCTTGCTGTTGTATGTTCAAGTAACAGTAACCATTAGCTAACACGACATCAAAATCTGACAGAGTCTAAGCAAATTGCCTGAGCTGCCTAATTTGCAAATCTTTCTCTGACTGTTCGCTCTAGGATGTGAAAGCTCTCGCAACGAAGAAAAGAGTGGTCAGTCGGGAGATTCAAACGGTGGTTCATCCCATTCCATCCCACATCGACACGGCGTACACCTGGAATGAATGGGAATTGCGACGCCGCGCGCTGCATCTGGTATGTCCAACTAATGTTTGCAAAATGTGTGAATGAGTCAAGAGTCAATCGCTGCTTTGTGAATTCAAAGTAGCACGAGCTCGACTTGAAACCGAATCTGTGTTTTCCAGGTCTACATCAGAAAGTGTGTAACTCACAGCGTTCAGACATACCTGAGTAACTGGAGACGGGATAATGTTACGCAAGTTTACCTTCCAAAGTAAGTGTGTTAACCCCATATATTGATTATTTGGGCGCGTGTTTGCTATAACACTTAATGTTTGTGCGCACAGGCTGGACGGTACGCAAACGAAAAGAGACAACTACAGTCAAGTGCCAAAGCCTTCTACATTTTTGTATGGATTGCGTGGAGGTGTGGCCGTGGATCAGGCCGAGGGAGCGAAAGAGGCCATTGCAGGATCCCCGTACTCCCATTGGTGTAAGGTTTATCGATTGGTGGATGCAACAAAGGTAGACCTTACGCTTCCCATTGAAGACCACTTTTGCGGTTCGCTGGACGGACAGGAAATTCCCATGCGTTAGCAGAAAAAACAGCCTTGTGGTTAAATATCCGCATTGACGATTTTGAATAAATCGAACGGTTCATATTGTGGAATTATCCAATTTCGATTTCATTATAACAAGCCCTTCCAATAGCTGAGATCAACTACAAAAGAATTCAATATTCCCTTGTTCTGAAGTCCCTTGGCCTTTTGCGTACTAGAGAAATTCAAAAAGTCCTCAATTTTGATATAAGGATAAGTAATTAAACATACTGTAATTAAATCTGCCGCTGATGGAGGCTTTAGATTTTCGTAATCACTAATTTAAGCGCATGCTAATACGAACATAGTGCCTAGCAAACTATTGCTTATTGTAAAGAGAGGTGCAATTTTTTCCAGAGGAACGTGCAGGATCGATTCAATTTAAATTAAAACACTTCGCAACATCTTGACTGCAAATCATTCCGAATTAAAGCCTTGTCTTCTCTTTTAATATTGGCGACGTTAGAATTCCATCTGAGAAGTTTTATAGAGGAAATTAAGGAGTTAAAATGATTATCCAGCCATTTCAATCGTCATTTACAGTTTAATGACGTGATGGTACAATTGTGAATAGCAATTTAATACGAGTAACGCTCCTGAAACATTTCAGCCAGGAAACAATCATTTCTTCTTAATTTGGGGACGTGATGCACTTCTTCGGAACTAATTAACCTAAACGAGAGAAATATTTTGTCTTAAATTTGTACACAAAAGCCACTTTACCTAGTGTTACGTGCGACCATGTGGTATTCATATTAAGAAATAGCTGATTGTAGAGATGATATTCACAATTTGCGTAGGAACGATTATTTGAAAAAAAAAGGCGGTGATGCAGTGGCCACGTTAGGTCATTTTCTTTAACCTAGCGCCTAATAAAATAATTCGACGATGGTTCCCACAGGTAATTGTTAACAAAATGCTAAATTCTTCAAAAGTTGTCCTGAAACACAGCGTCTCCCTAGCATTAATTAAAAAAATTACACTAGACATTTTTAATCATTTTACATCAAAAAGGTCATTATAGCTTACCAGTCCGTGATTTGAAAAAAATTTATTGCGATTCACAGATTAGGCAGACAAAAAACTGAAACTTGTTGATGCAACATCTAATTAATTTAATCCGTGGATGCCGTTTTATATACCTGCATAATTTGCAAATAATTACAACATGTAAAAAATATGGAATTTCATGCACCTTTGTTCGCTTTAAGCTTCTCAATTTGAATCGGTATAGACTCATTTATATCGAAGTCCCTTATTGCTATGGTAGTTTCTTTAATGGATGTCAACTTTCGAATAACCGTATTGGCCATCTATTCTTGTCAGTTAACCCTTTACTCTTCGAAACATATAATACGTTGGTATTGCTTTCTTAAAAATTTATTATGCTGCCACGAATACCTAAAATTTAGTGCACAAAATCCTTTACACATTTTCAGTGTTGAAATTACATCAACTTGCTTTAATAAATTTAGGTCAATAGCGCACCGTTTAAAAGCGTTCTCGCTCCTTTAGGTGCGGTTTTACCAGAGTTGTTGAATCTGAGGTAGGCCATTTTCACCAAGTATTTTGGCACTTAAAATACCTTTTTATATCTCAAATTTACTTCATCTACAAATATTGTGCATTTTGTGGCCCAGACTCAGAACGTTTTGCCTTTTTCCATTTTGCCGACGTGTATTCATGATGTTTGAGTTCGTGGTACTTTTGCTTAGAGCTGATATTGCTAGAATTTTACTAATTTTTATCTCCTTTTATCGGGTAAAGTCAATGAAAAAGTTTTTGGTTGGAGTTTAGCAATGGAATGATTTAGTGTGAGTAAAACACGTTGTAACACTAAACCTCTCGTTTTGGGTTTCGCGTTTTTACCATCGCTTATTTAATTGTGATTTCTTTCATGCCTTAATCTGCTTTTATTTTAATGACATAAAAATTTAGGCTTTACTTACTTTTAGTTCAATCTTGATTTTAATGTGCACCTAATTGAACGTTTCCTTAGGGCATTGTGCATATGGACATCGAAGAAATGCTGCAAATTCTACATAGCTGAGTGTATGACTGCCTTGTGCGAATGTTTGTAATTGCGTTGGATGTTGGATAGTAGGAGTGGTTTCCTTACTGGTTATCTACCGTGTAAATCCCAAAGTGAATATCATAGATTGTAATCAGATGCCTTTTAAATGTCATTAGTATTCACCAGAACCAGTCTTTCTCTAAAACATTGTAAACGTACTGATTTCGTCATGTAGTCAATTCGTCGAGCTGGGTTTTTTTCGCAAACGTATCTTTACTGACCACTCATGTTGCCCCTGGGGATTCAATTTTCTCACTGGCCTAGAACCTGGCATTTTGTTTATAAGGCTCCCGGTTTGGAAACAACACAGAATTACCCTAGTATCGAGTTATCACAACTTACCGCAACTCACAAATCTTGAGAATGTGCTTTTCTCTGTCCCTTTCTCGCAGAAATGGCTTTGGCACCCTTGCTTCTGTCGTCGGTCTCGGGTTGTGGTAAGCAAGATGCCGTCGTGGTGTATGACCCTGTCGCCGGCAATACAGTCGCCAGTTTTAGTGGCGAAACAGCCACAAGAGGCACCCTCACTGCCCTCAACGATGTCATATTCAGTGCTGTAGCCAAGAAACCCCTACTTCAGATGTGGTCGTTTCAGTCTGTAGGTCGACCCTTGGTGTGAACAAGTCGGTTATTTTTTTTAGAACTCGTCGTTCAAACGTCTCACAACCAAGGGAGTTGTTAATGCTCTCGCCTTCACACATGACGGCTCCTTCATGTACTTGGCAATCGAAAAGAGCATTTATGTGTATCAGGTAGGAGAAAAATTGTTTACACCTTGGCTCTCATTGATTCAGGTTTGCAGTGGATGCTTGATAACAGTCCTTGAAGCAAGCCACATGGCACCGATTGGATGCCTCTTGATGTCCCAGCGACAGGCGGCTCTGTGCCTCCCCCTACTCGTCTCCGCCGACACGTCTGGCCTTGTCGCGTGCTGGCCAGCTTTGGTTGCTGCTGACGCTGCTGTAACCATTGGCGACGACGATTGCACTGATGCTGCTGCTGCTGAAAAGTCCTCCTGTGGCTCACACAAACCCCTCTGGTATGTTGTTCAGGCCAGTCGAAGCCTACCGTCGTGTGCTTTTGTTGCCGATGGTAGGATGGTCGCGTGCGCCGGAACCGATGGTCTCAAGGCAAGTTGATTGCGCCCTTTCTCCACCAATCAAGTCTCTTCAATTATCCCATTGGCTCGAAAAATAAGTCACGGCGGTTTTATTAATTTTTTGCTCATAACATCAAAGGAAACTAGGTTTTAGTTAATGCCAAGTTGTTAATCACTTGATACTGTAGTTTCCATAGTGGTTTCCTACTTATTCTCCACTACCAATAGGTTTTTTAATGTCTGCGCAAGGAGAATCTGCAAATTTTGCCTTAAGAAACTTGTCCAATCATGCTTTTACTATCGTGTCAGTAGTATTGAACGCTATTTCATATCAATTGTTGCATAGTGACAGGCAAAGATGAAAACACATTTGATCTAAGTCTGGAAAATTTGGTGGATGGGGTGATTGTCGTTGGGTTTCAAAGGAATGAATAAAAGTGATTCAGACTTACCGGGTAGACACTGGAGCGTTCATCGCCAGATTAATGCCTAATTTGCCGTTTTGAGCCCCAAAAGTCACCACAGCAACAGGTGTCAGATGACCACAATTTTTTTCAAAGTTTCATTTCATTTTAATGCCCTGAAGTTAAGCGAAATTGAATCAATCAACCAATAGTTGGGTACTCGGCAATCACGTTTGGCTTCAGCCTAATTTTCACCCCAAACGAGCGGACCTAAAGTGACAAGTAGTCCAAACCTTCCGATTGGTCTAATTACTCTATCGTTTTGTGTTGTTTTCTAGTTGTTCGGAGCAGAGACAGGTCGATTCGTGTACTCCGCATTGGGGCAGAGTCGCCCCCTGCTGTGTGTCTGTGCCCTCCCCCACGACGACACATTTGTCTTCGCTGGAACCGACAACGGCATTCTCCACTCAGTCTGGATGAAGAACCCTGAGGTGTGCCTATAGCGTGGTCACTTGCCTTTTAATTGAAACTCCTCAGTTGCTATAGCAACCATAGAGCCCATTATTCTGCCAACAAAGCGCCTGTTTTCCTGTTTTAGGTGTGCACGTCATATGAAGTCTCATTCAGAAGGTGTTTTGCAGAAACCGAGTAGGTGATTTTGTTCACGGCACCTCTTGTCCATGCGTGTTTTTGACGTATTCACATGCATCAATCTCGCACTGCAGGCTTTCGTCCACAGACAAGGCGATATGCTGTGTGTGTGCCAGTCCGCCTGAATCCAGTCTTCGTCTACTGGCAGTGGGAACGCGCAGCGGTTTGGTGGAAGTTCTGCGTCTGGACGCGTGTCTCGTGCGTCTGCAGAGATTTTCCGTTTGTCCGTCGGAGGGCGACACCGCGGCCGCACCACGTATCACGGGCCTCGTGATGATGCCGCGGCCAAGTTGGCTGCTGGAGGAGCAGTCGCTGGCCGCTGCTGCGCCCGACCAATCACCCCAGGACGCACCGTCCGACCCCCTGGCAGCTATTCGTCCACTCAAACGACAGCTCGGCTGGCAACCGGACGACATTCTCTACCTCAAATTGCCCAACCCCAAGCAGAACCGCACGCTGGATAGCTTCGTCAACGAAATCTATCAGGATGATTTCCTTCTGACTAAGCCGCCACCCGCTTTCGCTGTGCCAGTTGACGCCGTCGTCACTACAGCATCCGGCAGGTCAGAGACCTCGGCTGAGCTTCAGCAGTTGAAGGAAGAGAAGAAAGCCTTGGAAAAGAAAAATGGCGAATTGATGCGCATCTTAGTCGCAAACTGTTTGCACTACTAATCCTCAGCTCGGCGCTTTGTACATAGACGCTTGAAAATAGACGCTTACTTGCCAGTCTTTTTTGTTTACTGCGATCAACAGGACGCTCGCTAAGTACCGTGCTGATGGAAACGCAGGAATGAGTTGTGAAGCAAGTCTTCGGTAACTGCAGAATCGCTGGTGTTGCCTGTGTACGCGCGCCTTGTTTGGCATACAGCCAGCATGGTGAATGTTTTGGGCGGAAAACGTGTTTGTCAGGTGCTCACCTGGCGGTGTTAATTCAACCGCCGCATTATGTTAACCCTAAATGGCTCAATCACATCACGACATGTCAGTTATTGTACGCAGACAATATAGCGTACAGACGCAATGGGAGACAGCGTAGAACGCTCAGATGCGTCCACTTAGGCTTTGGTCGAAGTTGAGCGCAAAAAAACTGAGTAGAACAGTTAAAATTAGGCCATTTGGATAAGGATACTTGGTTTGCGAAATCCCGAAATACGAATCTTCTTTCCAGACTAAGGTGTACAAGATAACTTAACTGAGACACAAAATTGGCTCCACAACACACATTAGTATTGCCCTTATTGTCCATCTCGCATCTGATGAAATTGTTCTTTTCCCAGTTTAGTCCTATTAGTTCAAGATCGGAACCCCGTTGCCATGGATAAATTAAATTCGCTTTTAAGAAACGTCTATGGAGTTTTATATTCCTGGCTGTGAAATTATTGGTTATCTAGAAATTGCTTGATGCCATAGTTCACTAAAAGGATTTTTTACGAAATACGTAATTAGACGTGATATAGGGGAATGACTATGATTTAATAAGTTTTTTCTTGGAAGTGTTCGTTTAGTTTCTACTTGTTTCGCGGCGCATGCCATCGGTTAAATTTTCTTACAAAACGTTTCATAGTAGTTTTAACATTTGAATCTACACCTACCAGCATACGGTGACGGGAAAAGTAACGTTTACTGAATGTTTGTCTTTTCTGAGAAGCAAACTCGTACTTACTATCCTATGACCGGCGTGGCAACTAAATAGCAATTATGGGGGCAAAGCAGGAAGGGTCGCAGTGTCAAGAAACAGTACAAGCTGGTGTAATTCTTACTTAACTTTGTTGAAAGGCATATTAATAAAACTGCTCCTTTTACAATCTCGCGACAAAATAAAGGCCGAATAAACTACAAAAGCAGTGACATTGCAGCAGTATAAGCTCAAGAATAACCGGGCGATGCACCACAACATAGGGAATAGCAAGAAAGTTATTAGCTGAGGGATCACACTAAGTGAAGATAAATTTAAAATATTAATGCACATGGATAGTGCTAAGGGCTGGAAACAAGGTGGGTGCCATCAATAATTTTGCAAAAAGAATTAAATTTGAAATTCAACAATCGGTTATTTACGGGATACTTTATGCCAAGACATGAAAATACCGAAATTGGACTGAATATAAAACCAACTAATCTGGACACTATATAACTTAGGGCATGGAATAGCTTCCGAAGCCGCAGTGTAATCTTAGTAAAATCCATGAATGATTGATGTTTAGGAACCAAATATTATTGGTTCAAAAAAAGAATAATAAAAATAAAAGAAAATTGCGAAGAATTATTTTATTAACTGGATTTCACCATAAAGCAGAATGGTCATTTAAAGGCTGTACAGTACACGACACCTGGTATGGAGTAGCTAAGTGTTGCACATTAAATGCTAGTTGCGATCATGGACTAGGAATTCGTGAGGTTGCAAAAAGCAGCATCTCTAATTTGTGATGTTGTGAAGTTAAGAATATGCATTCACTGGCTATATTCACTATATTTTTAGGCTTTGTTGAATCTAGTCCGTTAATTAGTCAGTAACACTGAGGTTATTGAAGATGCTAAATGACTAATTTGCATTATCGAAATGTGGGATTGGACATCAAGTAAGCAAGTCACAAGGGTCTCATTCGGGAGAATCGCGTAAACTAAACCGCAAAAAATTACTGCCATTATGTCACTGGCCTAAATCCATTACATATACTCTAAAATTGTACGCCCTGCCCCATATCTCCTTAATATGCGGAATTTTCAAGATATTTCGCTTGTCACTGTGATGGGAGAAGTTGACATGTTTAGCTCGATATAAATCAGCCTCAGACGCTACACGTCTTGCATATGGATCACCCTGGATTTTTCCAATGAACAAAGTTCGGAATTGTTAACTAAAACAATAAAAAATAAATATTTTAAACCAATTGGTCCAATTAAAATGCATTGCCTTTGGAGGCGGCTCGGTCAAATGTACGTTAATGTCTCGATCGCGTTAGTTTTTCTAACTTATAGACGGTGAGGTGTTTCATTCGTATGTAGGCGTCGATTCTTTGTATCCTGATTAGCTTTGTTGCCTTTATTCATGCAACATTCTAGACATAATTTAAAATTAATCATAGTGACATGGTCCAACACAATTGTTTTTCAGGTTGCTTCTTTTAAAATTTTCACCAACATGCGTCATGATTTTTTTAAATTTAGACGTTCTATGAGGAGTGCTAATAGATTTAGGTGTGTGTTTGGATTTTCAACTGGCAATTTCGCGCTATGGATTGTGCGTTGCCAACGATCATAAACCTGTCTTGTTAGAAGTTTTTTTATTACTACAAGGCATCGTAGTCGTGCTCTCATTGCTACTGAAAAGGTTTTGTACCATTTAAAAATATTTTTAGTAGTCTTTGTTTCTGTTTCTATTTATTGTAGTTGTATTTATGTAAACTGGTTGTGAGAAGAACCAGCTGCTTATTTATAACCCGATATCGTTCGCCTCGATATTTTCCAATTTATTTTCCTACAATATAGCCAGATATAATCGCATAAAAGCTAGTTTGTGCGGTTGAATCCCTCATTAAACCATTGAGTACTCAACCACCTTTTAAGCCTTGAATCAAGCTTTTCGCCTTTAACGTTAAAGCAAATGGGATCTTCCCTTTCCGACCCACGATAATGTTGTGTGAGGTTTCGACATATTGTGTCCAAGTTACTTGAGTACGCTGATGCTGCTTAGTTTAGGGATTAGTTTTCTGCCTGGCGAATTGAATGTGTGCTGGTTAGTCCTTTGTGCGTCGGTTTGGCTCACGTCATTAACCGGCGATGTGAAAAATTTGGCTGTTCCCCTCATCCTAGTTGTGACTCAGACTGTTTGCCCACTGTTCTCATGTCAAATTTAACCTTTTTTTATATTTTACGTAATACCCATTCTAAGGTTCTCCGGGCTAACACACAAATTATAAGCAATGTAATTGCATAGATTTTTGTCTGTTGACTTCAGAAAATGACAAATACAATTGAAAATGACGTCATTGGTGAATCGGAAGAGGGCACTGACCAGTCGAGTGCTAACTTCACGGGTGAAAATGATATGCCTATCCTGTCAGCGGCAGATTTTTCTCCTGATTTCTCCGTTGACGAGATGAAGGCTATGCATACAAGCCTCACAAACATTTCCTGGCGCGTTCCAGTTTCTCCAAAGGATCATTTGGAGACGGTTTTATTAGATTGCATAAAACTCGCCAGATCGAGTACGCCTTTCACTTTACACATAATTCGCCTTTTTTTAGACCAGTACGAACATTGCCCCCATTTTTTTCAGTTTTGTGAACAAGACCTTAATCTTGCTTTTGAGAAAGTCATTTGTGATTCTGCTGGTTATAACTGGGACAAGAGTATACATGTAAGGGAACACATTTTGAGTGATAACGGCTCTTGCAGCATTATATTTTTATGAACGCATTGCTTGCAGTTGAGTTTTGTGCCATTATGGCCGACAAAGATTACGCCCCTATCTTGGAACTGGAGTACATTTTGTTTAATCCAGATACAATGTAATCATTTCATCCTACTCCTCACCACATGCCTTCCCACTAGGTTCCAGAATCGCAGCGTTTCAAATAAAGAATTCTTTTCAGTTGTTCGTTATGGTACACAGGAAGGCGGGACTATCTCCCGCTTTAATAATATACTAGCAGTTTTACCAGAACTGCGCCTTACTATCTTGGAAGAAGAAATCGATGTAGAGGCTTTGAACCTCAAGGTTTTTGCACGATCATCCATGCCGAAGCGGTTGCCGCTGCTGGAGGACTTTATTAATCTTTTCGGCAGATTAGGTGGATTCGATGCCATTGTTTCACGTTTCCAAAGCCAGGAGAAACAACCGCTAACAATGCGCCTTATTTTCGAGTACCTCAAGCCATTCGAAGCGTGCTGTTACTACCTGACTGATGAGGTGGTAAATGAGTTTCTTCTTCCAATGACAGTAAGTTTTTACCGGCTGATTTCTCAGCACGTACTTTATCTCCGCCTGCGCATCTTCGACTTCACTTCCATTGTTGACTTTGTTCTGGTTTTCATGACTTTTTGATGTTTTTATCTACTGCTTGGACACAGCTCCAGGCAACTTCTGATTAACTGCTGAAAATTACTTTTCTTAGGAAATGGCTGTTGCCTTTCTGAAGAACTTGACTGACGAGGACATTCGCCAGTTAATTAGGCTCAATCAACGCAGTAGCCATTTCATGGACTTCTCACTAATCCGTACCTTTTACCAACGCATCTACGGTTCGAATTACAACAACGAGGAGTTAGATGATCTTCGTCTACAGTTCATCCTGCGAGTGATGAAGGTAAGCTTCTGGAAATAGTTCTTGTGTGCGTTCATCGTCATCGTTTTTGCAAGTCCACTCGAAATCTTCATCAACGCAACTGCTACATCGTTGATGGTCACTAATAGCAACGTTACTTTCTCGCGCGACCAGGTTG